TTTTTACCCTGAGTTTTGTTGATGTTATTTAAAAATACATCTTGAGTTTTATTGTGTTGCTTTTTTAATCTGCGTTGTTTTTATGAGGTTCCTTACAACTATATATAAGGTTTGAAATTTGGCTCTGACACTAAAAAAGGTTGAGTACCAGTGGTTTAAAGTAATTTCATTCATCCAATTTAATATTGGTCAAGTGTATGTTGCACTTAAGTCTAGTTTGATATTGCCCTCGTCAACGTAGTATCTTATGATTTTCCATTTTTCCACTTGCAAAAAAAAAAACTTCAGAAAGTTCATGTCGCCAACCTGAAAAGATAAGCCCAGAACCCAATTTCGTGAAAGATCAGATTTTGTTAGATTCCAGTCCAGCATAAGAAATGTTGCTCATATTTTCTCTACATGCTTGCATAGTTTTGCATCATTATCCTGAGATTTTTCGCCTAGCGCGTGACATCTTTTGATACGAACTTGAATTTGATATACGCAGCTTAAAAGTTCATGGTTTTCATTTCATAGAAGATTGTTTTATAAAAAACAACAACGTACATCCCATATTTAGCTTATTCCGCCATGTGTAAAAGTGGAAAAAGAAGCCCCATTTAATCACCTGATGCCTTAACTTACTTGAGCGTCAGTGCCTTTTTAGATTACCAAAATGCACATTATAACACTAACTGTATCAACTTACCTAATCGCGAAAAAGGCATATTTTGTTGATAAATGCCAACTTATTTAGGAAGACATGAGGTTTGAGTAACTATGCAAAACTTTATATAAATCACGTTTCTGTCTATATGAAAGCTCGAAAAGATTATTATCATAGCCAACGCGTATCAGGCTTAGATATTTTGCTGGATGACATGATCTTTGTAAAATAACGGAAACGTCCATTGCCCTATCCCACTTGATTCAAATCAAGCATGCATTCAATGAGTTTATCTAAGCATCAAGTCTCTGACGAATCTTTTAAATTCTACATTCAAAGTAAAGAGATATCATATTAAGATGACCGGGTGCTTGACTACTACGCTCCACTCCATATCTCTTTTGGTTGACGGAATCTAAAGATGGATATTAAATATGAATGATTTAAATCAGGGGTGTGCAAGCTTCGGCCCGTGGGCCAAATGTGGCCCGCAAAGATAATTTGTGCGGCCCGCAGAGAAAGGTCAATTTTGAATGGTGTGCCAACGAAACGAGTTTTAGTTTAGTTAATCTGACGTGCGAGCAATTCTAATCTCTGCGTCGCAAAACCCATACCAGTACCTAAGTGCCACTGTCATGTTAGTAAAACTAGTTAGCAAAATCCTGTTCCAAAATACACAATGCTTCAAAAACGTGTTTCTCACTGAATTCGTTTAAAGTCGGTGTGACAATAAATTTAAATTGCAGTTTTCTTAAGAAATTTATGCGTTTTTACTCACCATTTCTGCATTTGTTCTTAATGTTGAATAATTTTGCACATGCAGATTTGTTACGGTCACAAAAATTCTTACATTGCTTACCAATTACTCTTTAAAGAAAATGGTTTCAAGCGTTTAAACCAGGGGTGTGCAACCTTTTTCGCAGGCGGGCCAAATATCAATAACTGTGCAAAACCGCGGGCCGCACCTTCATTTAACATAGGCTTTATATTAGTTGCAGGCACAAAATAGTTTCTTTTTGTTATTGATCTCATGTTGTCATCATAAGGGGTCCTTGCAGAAAACGCATAAATATCTTAAAACTGTAATCCAAATATAATGTCACACCCAATTCAAACGAATTCGGTGAGAAATTTGCTGCTGGATTCTTTTCCTGACTACTTTTATTCAAATTTGCTTAAATGGAAGTGCTGGCAATTTGATATGACGCCCATTTAAAAAAAAGGTATGTAACCGAAAAGTGCCATATTTGAAGCCATGACTTTTTTCAAATGTGAAAAGTTATCTTAGTTGAGATGTTCTCGGTATAATACGCCAAGATTCATTCCAAATACTTTGCTGTCAAATCTTATTCCAGATTAGATTTTACCAAAATCAACTGATAGGCTGGAACCAAAACTCATTTATCTTTTGTATCTCTTAATATTACATTTTTTTAAACTGCTTTCCAGTTGCCCAAAATTCAATTGTCCGTTCTTACAAATTCATTGGCATCTGCTCCGCATTTTTCTTTCAATTGTTCGCTGCTCGGCAAGGGACAGCTTCCTTGTGAATCGCGTTGTTCGCTTCGCTGTCGGGACGTTGTAACGTCATAGGCATAGATAATAAATTGGACTCGAATATAAGATTCGCAACGCAAAGGGAACCAGATCAACTAAATTAAAAATTAATTTAGCTTGCCGCACACCGTTCAAAATTGGCCCTTCTCCGCGGGCCGCATTTGGCCCGCGGGCCGCACTTTGAACACCCCTGGTGCAGACTATTCCATGTCTACAAGTTATCTCATGTAATGATTCCATAACTCAGTGATTCCCAACCCTTTTTGTTAAATTCCTTCTTTCGGTTATTTTCAACTCTTTATTCCCCGCACTATGCATAAAAAGTACTTTATTTATTCAATCTTTAATGAATCGTAGCTAGTGTTATGCGCAAGTCACGCTCAAGCCTTTGTACCGTTTATTAAGTAGTTTATAATACTTGTATTATATGAGTACTATGGCAATGATAAAGAAATAATGAATACAAGTAATAGTATAGCAAATACGAAATACCTTCAAGGGTAGGTATCACTCCCCGATAGGGAAACATGGCCTTAACTGATGTCATTCGTTGTAACTTACCTACAAATCAAGTAGTAGAGAATAAGACCGTATTTGGTGAATTTTCCAGAGCTGGTATCTGAAATTTCATTACCTGCCGACAGAACTTGACAGTTTAGTAAACATGAAATTACTAATCTACAAAAGTTACTAAAAACTTTCAGTCTTTATCATCTGAGAACAGAAACATTTTGATGCCAATTTAGTAAATCAGTAAACACCGACGACACACAGTTCAATATAAATCTAATTAATTGTATGCAATACTAATTTACTAGATTATTATATTACATTATTATTGAATCAAAATTTATAAATTAATTTATAATATCATTGGACTCGAATAAAATTTGAAAAAAGAAATCAGTAGTAATCAATTTCTGCCTGGCAAGTATTTTCAAACACTGAAAATTTGAAGTCAATTGGTTCCTTACTTGCGGAGGAGCGCGATTTTGTATCAAAAATAGCAAGACCAACAACAGCAACAACAACAGCGATTTAAAAACAATCCCTATCCAAATAATGCAAGTTTAATTACAAATCAGACGACAATGCTATATAAACACTGCAAATAAACGATCGCATTTGTTGAAGATATAGGAATTATATTCGTGACGCTTCAAATAAGAGCAAATCTTTAGTAGCACTTAATGGTTCAATATTACAGATAAATTTTTAGTCTAAGAAAAATGTGTACAAAACAAACCTGTTGGTTGATAGTGGTTCAAGATCATTTCCCGAATCTGACGGGGAACGAGGGGCATACCAACCGCAATAGGAGAATAAATTCTTAATTTTAATCGCGAAAAAGATGATGAGACCCGCGAAACAACATAATAAATAATCCAGATTTGAACCTGTCCTCAATGCGAACGTAGTTATAGTACGTGGACTATGGTAATATATCTGGCAAATTACGTTTATGATTTCATTGACTCTCGCCTTTACAGAAAGATTGACAAAGCATGAATCTGAGGCCAGATACAATATTTTTACATTCTACAAAACTTCTCGAATTGCAACTAAACACACAGAAGTCTTTAAATTAGGATGAAATAATACAATACAGTCCAATCAGAAGTTAATTAAAACTATCAATGAACGCATGCTTTGTGTCGTTTATAATATAAAAGAAAATAATATTTTTTTCTCCGATAGATTGTTGAGTTTGCACTGAGACAAGTTAATTTTTTTTCATATACTGCATCCTTTAAACCCGACACCGAAGAAAAGTTTTGTGACTGCATACTGAAATAATTACCAAATCAGCGTAAAATAATGAAATCCTGGACAAAATTCGTGCTTTTTCTTAGTGACAACTTCCTCTGTACATTTATGAACTACAAATCGTATCATAAAGGCGAGTGAAAACTAGGTGATCTGGAATATTGTACAGCAATATTGCTTATACGAAGTCACCACCGCCCAGCCTGGTACGGGCTGAAATCTGAACCAAAACCAAAATCGATGAATTTCACAGGTAGAATTTACAACTTGATTTTCTGATGAACATTCACAATTTGATTTAAAACAGATTTAGATTTTCAATTACAAATAATATATATTGTTTATCACTCGTGACACCTATTGTAAAAAAATTATAAACAGGTTCTAAAAACGCCATATACTTAAACGGGTGTTTTCGTATTTGTTGTCTGAAATTTGCAAATGTATAAAGGTTCCGAAGAAAAAATTCAATATTCTATGTTTAAAAGCAGTGCAAAATATCTTTTGCATTTTACCTAATTACCTGAGGGATACTAACGGCTAAGGCTTACAACATACGAAATATTGCATCAGACAAAAATTGTTGATATAAAACATGTGCATTGGAACCAGTGCGTTCATTTCAAAACAAAGTTTTTTATTAGAAGTAGTATTCGTCAATGAACCGAGTTGATTCTGAGTGCTAATAAATACACTTTAGAAATGTGTTCGGGTGTTTTAAAGATTTCAATGTAATTGTGATAGTTATTGATTTGCAATACTTGTATTTTATCAGATTAGGACGCGTTATGATGTGGCGTTTTGTAATACAACAGAGACATTAGTGCAAAAATAACTTTGATCAGTTTAGTTTTTATCTCAAAATTCATTTTTTAATGTTTATTAGTATCTGTTTTATCAATTGATTTGAATGTTAGAAAACGGGTGTATCTGTTTTACCTGCAAGGATGAATTGAAATAGTTTGGCTATTAACGTTTTCTTATACAATTGCTCACTGTGCTTTCAAAATTATTTTTTCAGAATGATAAAGAAAATCTGAAACAATGTTCAAATGTGCACAGCAAAACAGGATGTATCATGAATAGATTACTTCAAAATGGCGGAAAATATAAGGATGTAAACAACATGCGTGTTAAGTAGCAAAAAAAAAGGTTGCGGCCATATGGTAATCTTCTTTTTTTATCATGTAAAGCCTAAAACTAATTTTTTTAAATAAATGACGTGCTTATAAATTCTTTTACGTCTTTACTGTGTGTTCTAATTTGATTGGTTGACAATATAGATAACAAAGGTCGATTATATTCAACATGATATATTATTGAGCTATTCTATCGTCGATACCACCGTGAAATAAACACCACGTAACTGTGTCTCCAAGACACGCAACTAATAAAAATGCAAGTTTAATAAATATTTATAGTAAACATACAACTTTCACATATTATAGAAGCGTATTCAGCAAATTTGAACTTTGGTGAACTATGCATCAATAGCTCACTTCGAATGTTAAAATATTCATTGATTTCTCTCCTAACTAGCACTGCGCTTATTTACAATAAACATTGCTTGAAGTAATCGATTTGTCAAAGTGTTATATATATAATAAACGTAAATTTTCAGTCTATTTATGCAATCCAAGTCTTGTTTTTTTCAAAATATTTGAGTTACGCCCAATCGTTAAATCTTTTGTGCAACTCTGCAACTGGTACAACTAGAGTATCCGCGTATTTTATTAATAGATTTTTGTAAGTTCTAAAATACACATTCATTTGTACAGTATATAATTGAAGAGTCCAGCTGCACACAAACACAAAAGTATTTCTATACCGTTTTGTCTGACTGAAGTCAGACTTCCTCAGCCAAGGAATTTAACACAATGACAGACAGTATGTGAACAATTATGTAGTGTAAGTATACCGATAAATAATTAATTTTTTTTGAAATTGACATAGAGGAAATAGATATGGAGGGGAATCTTGTAGAAGTATAGTTAATTTTGTACAGTGTTGTGATATTCATTACATTTTATTTATATCGAACTCCATTCAGGGTTCCTCAATGACATTTACCCAACCAAACCACGAAAGGGAAGTTGTCACGTGCCAAAAACATTATCCAACTGAACATTACTGTCGTGCGCTAACGGTTGCATTTATGTGCTGTCTCCAGCTCTTTTCTTTATTTGTTCCAGTTCTATTCACTGATAAAAAATCTACATATACCCATATATATTGTGCAAAATAAGAATCTCCCCATCAACACACTTGAAAACTCTTTCACAAACAGTTGTTTGTTTGTTTACTTTTACTGCAATGCGTACTTTAAAATGAAATATTCCAGTTATCTACCTAGTTAAACTTGCGATTGTTCTTTATTGCCTCACGAATGTGCGAATTTCGATGGAAAATTGTGTCGAAGGCATTGCATCACTTGCTCCGCCGGCTCTGCTCTCCTTGGGACTATATTCTTATTCACCGCCGCTATTTACCGATAAACAAGTATTGGCAGCTGGATTTGCAAGATCCGGAATATCAAAGACAGCGAGTTTACCTCGATAAACAATAAATAGCCTATTTGTCGTCTGAAGTAAAACTTTTTTTGTGGGCACAGTGCGTTTTCCATATACCAAAAATGGTGATCTATCTTCTGCAGAAACACTTGGAAGGTTATGGAATACAATGATTCGATTGATTTATGATACCAAGCGTAATTCAGCTTATCAGCAAAAATATTTTTATTTTAAAAACTGATTCAAAGGTGATCATAATATGCATATTTGTGACACAAACGTAGTTTTTCTCATAGAATTATAAAATTTCTTAGAGATTAAAATTTCATATAGATTGGTGTTCGCATCTTATTCCAGTCGGTCAGTAACGATCGTCTGAAATCCATGGCAGAGGCCGACGTGAATTGGTTTGGGTATGCTTCTCTGGGTATCAAACTCATATCGGAAGGATTAATGTCGACTTCCTGGTCTTGGGAATTGTAGGCCACTATTCTTTTCAGGCGGTATGTTTTTTTAATTAAATGGACCTTTCCCCGAGCATCGACTTCCTTGTTAACTTCGTGACATTGGCCAATCAGCAAGATGCAAAAAGTGACGTAACAATGCTCCCTTTCACATCCGCTCAGACACTTTTCTCACTCAGACAGATTTTCAAGCGTGGTCGTAAACATTACCTCGTTTCCGTGTTTTTGGACTCTATTCGTTAGTTTTCAGTTGTGTTTCGGAAACTTAAACATAAATCAGATAATTCAATGATCACTCTGTCTTCCTAAGAGTTTTAATTTAATTGCAGTAATAAAAAATTAGTGTAAAAATAGCTGTGATAAACTAGGCTAAAATTCATTTACCGGTACTTTTAAAAAACAGATTGTTGTATGCGATGAATCCTGATGGTGGTTCGAAACACATACCCCATTTTACATGCGCCAACTCGCAAAGGCACTCTTAAAATAGCCCCGAAAATGTTCTAATTGTAAAGTATAGGAAGAATTTTCTTGGGGTCAAAGGTCGGGGAAAGGTCCATTGAATGACAACCTCAATTGAGCTATCGATATTGCATCGTTTTTTCTTCTCATTTGTGTAGTGCGCAGACGGATATAAATTCTAAAACCGAACCGCAAGCCACTAAAAATACTGAAGATGATTCAATTGACGTCGGTGCCACGTTACATACAGATGAATTTTATCTTTAAAATACCAGAACTGTCAAAAATTAAATGCCAATACAACATGCAAGTATCTGATTTTAAACTGCGGAAAATGTATCAGGCAAGTACGAGACGATTACCTGGTAATGGAAGGCGCATGAAATAGTTCAAGAAGACATATTCTGAATATTTCTTGAAATAGGACCTAAAAAAGGAAACGTATACAATAATTCAAGTAACATTTCATTTATGATTTCCAATTGGGGTCACAGGCAGAGGCCAACGTTTTTGAAGTTTCAGATGCGTTTCATAAAATAAAATATGATCGTCTTATAGGATATTTGGATAAAGGGTCCAAAATTTGGATATAGGATAAACAATATGATGTATTGCAAATGGTGTTCGTTTTTTTGTTTGTTCGTTTTCGTTAGGTGGATGGAATTTTGATTCTACCCATTTCGCAGTTAATTGTTCAATCTTAGGTACATTTGAAAATTATGGCCGCCGTGAATTTGTGAACGCAATGCTGCAGTAATTGTTACAATGTTAGTCTTAGCTATGCAACTTAAAACTTCTCGTATTCAGGTTCCATGTCCACCAACCACTTCAGTCAGTGTAATAAATTGTGAAGTCAGTTCCCTTCCTCTCAAAATAAAGTATCTCTTCGCATAGCAGTGACTGCTTTTGCAAAATGAAATGCGTATAAAAACGTCCTTCAAAATACACATATTATTTTTGTTATATATGCAACTGTTTTTTGTTGTGGCCGATTACAAATCATTCCATTGTCTATATTCCCAATAAGGTGTTTATCGATGTGATCCTCGCATTCTCAATCTTTTCTTAAACTTTTGCTGAGCGTTACATTATATTTTGTCTGGCATTGGGTTATAAAACTCGTTGACGTTTTAAGTTCATTTGAAATCGAAGTTGTTTATCATAATTTGATATTTTTCAGTGAAATTATTACATATTGTGTATCCATAGTCATTTTTGATCGTATAAGACAATGATTCTTAATCTTTACCTTCTTGTGGCACATTTTCAGCACAAAAAACCTTAAAAGAACTTTCGAGTATTATTGAAAATTTTTTTTTTTCAAATTATATATAAACAATAGCAATAGCAGGGTTTCAATGACCACATTAACACTTTTATCAATTCATCAGTTTGTTAAGTTAAACTTCCAAACCTTGGCACAACACCAAGCGTAAATCTCCTCTCTTTTCAATTTGTAATTGATGACGTTTCCCCGTGATCTACTGTATACCAAATGAAAGATCTAATCCGTTTCAAAATTCCTCAGAGTCTACTGGTGGGCCTGAGTGACCACTATGAGAAACACTCTTTAACAAGATAGTTCAACCATATTCTTAGAAAAATTATGGCATGTAGCAAATATGAAAAGTTTGTGATGAAGTCTGAAGCTCAACAAAAAAATCTCGCATTGTTAATTTTATTGAAAATATTCCTTATGTTTCATTGTACATTCTTGGTTTCATTATGACTTATGCTGCACTTCGTGATGATGACGTCAGAATTATTTTTGATCGGTAGTGCAGGTGCTCCTTAACAAATCGATTGGGCATTTCATCACCAAAATAAAACACTTCCCATGTACACAAATTTGCAACTTCATACTTGGGCATTTTTTGAATTCAACTACCCATAAAAATAAAGTGCAAATCAGCAAAAGACTCAATACTTCACCAGCTATATTTAGTTGAAAACCGCGATGTAACATCGCATCAAATTTCAAATATTCGCTTTGAGCTGAGATTGCGGTTTTTATATAAAGTATAATATTACCAAATTAGATTCTTTCAAATGATTTCGATTTCTTGGAAAAATAAAAGCTTTCTTTTTGCGAAAGGGTAAAAATATCTGCATTTGTCAAGCAGGCCAAACTGACGAATAACTTTTCTTTTACTGATTTCTTCTGTTAAATAATTTTAGGAGGAAAAATGAGTGATTCACTGCAATTGTGAATATATATTATATCCAATGATATGTGCGCCTTTGTTACCATTGTGACGTTCGGTACGGATGGGGCATTTTTGGTCACGAAGTGAACTTATCAATATTTTTTGATAAATTGGTTTGAAGAAAAAAACCGTCTTTTTTCATTTAAATTTATGAAGAATTGGGTTTCAAATTTTTGGTAGTTTTCTTCATTTTCTTAATTATTCCTGGGACCCGTTATTTTGTTATAAATTTTGCTGTTTCATATTGTGGATTTTCCACAATACACAAGTATTGGTCTTTTTTTCACAAGTGTACAATTGCAAAATGCAAAAGTAAGATACTCATCGATACACAATTCGCACGAGCCTCATCTTCGTAATTCAATATTTTGATTTCTTGAAGAAAATGAAAGTTAAACTTTCGTGCCAACGTTTTGAAATGGCGCTCCAAAAGTATGTGCACCAAGATGGTGCACAACCTGATAACCCTAAACTGGTACACATACTATGTTCAGGTTGTACGCCATCTTGGTGCACATACTTGGGGAGCACCTTTGAAATGTGGTAAAAACAATTTTTTCTCCCTCATTTAAAAAAAAGTAGAAAAAGCCAACTGTAATATTAAGTTAGAAATAGGAGTTCATTTTGAACAAATTTCTAAACCGTATTTTGACATGGCATTTTCAACTGCCGTATGAGTTGACATTTATTTATGAATGATGAAATAAATCAACGTATTGTAAGTAAAAGTAATGTTATTTTTTATTAAAGCCAATTCATCATTCATTTTTAAACTTTAATTTATTTGTGCTCAAGGCCAATATTGTTTTGAGTCTGCAATTAATCTTTTTGTAGCTACTTGAACTTAGGAACGACATAATAAAACTGCCGGTATTAGAAGATCAGTTGAGAAGTTATCTAAAACCAACAGTGAGTTGTAGCAAACATATTAGCATGCATGGTCTGACATAATCATTTGCACCATGGAGCCCTGGGGCTATGATATTGTTTGGCCACACATAATTTATTTTCAGTACTCGGAACTTAGAAAATGTTCTTTCTCTCCCTTTCATTCGTCCAAGCTAATATCTTACGAGATACACGCCAGCCAATCACATGTCTTCTCACCGGTATAAAACCGTTATCCCCCATATTCGCTTGCTCACTTCTACTCTGCTAGAAGTTAAGCTTTTTGACACCAAGGTAGTTGAAGAATATTAGTTCGATTTTATTTACGTACAATGGAAACGCGCTCACTTCCAAGAATGAGTGTGTTTTCCGTTTTACTTCTTGCAACATGGGTTGCAGTAGGTTATGCCGGATTCGAGGATGTCGCCTCCATTGTGGGTAGGGACTACTTTATATCTTCAAGTTTTATAAGTTAGAATTTTTCATTTATAACGCCCGAACTTTTTTACCAATTGTTTCGATTTCGGACTGCTCAGTTAAAAAAAAATAATGAGGTTGTCTGGCGCTAGCCTTCGAAATACATATAAATATATATTTGAATGCAAATGGAACATCTTATCACACGCTACTGAAATATTTTTAGCAAAAATTTCTTTATCGATGTTTCCATCTGTGTCTATAAAATGGTAAAATTACGACAATTCTTGACAATTAGACAAGTTTGTCTCTACTAAATCTTACATTTAAAAAGTATAAGAAACATTTTATAACTTTAATATGCTAATTACATTTACCAACTAATTTCTCAATCTTTTCATTTCCTTGTTGCTATCATGTATTTAGTGAGATCCAACTTCGCAGCGGCATGTCCGGGTGGAACGGCGGAAGTCAAATGTGAAGATCCAACGCATGTCATATATGTTGAAGATGCGTATTATGGACGAGAACGGAACGACATGTACGTAGCCATAAAACCTACTTTAACAAAGATTAATAATTTCTATTCAGACTGTTGTCGGGGAGCATTATCGAGAATTTTTTTTTTCAGATGCCCGACCACGAGAATGCCCAGGCGACCATGCAAGTCTAGAACGTCTTTCGGTGTTATTTGGAAGGCTTGTCAAGGCAAAAATTCATGCTCAATTCAGGCTAATCCAAGAATAATGGGAAATGTTTGTCGTGGGGTAGATAAATATGCCTACATTGCATATCGATGCGAACTCCCAGGTATGCATATCGAAACAATGACGTTGAGTTTCATTCATTCTCACCATTCACATTAAAAGTGCTTTAATTTGTTTATTATTTATTTATATTTAATATCTATCAAAAAGCAGTTCACTCATTATTATTATATAAATATATAGACTGACTTACGTTCTATTTCGTTTCAATCATAGTTACATCTTATATTTTTTTTACTGGTTGGGTGCTAGATATAAAAATATGTATTTCCGAGTATTGAGCTAAATAACTCGCTTCCGAAGTTCCTAATCCATATTTATATTGGTGGAAAAAGTTGTAATTAATGGTTATGGCTATCATCCGACGAGATAGTTAGTTGATGCTTGTATGATGATGGTGATTTAGGCAGAAGTATGATCGGAGGATGCCCCGGAACTTGGGGGGAATGGATCAACATGGACAAACCGTCATCTGGTGCGGGAGATCTAGAGACCATAACAAGGCATATGAGACAAAAACAGGGATGCAAAGAACCCATGGGAATTGACGTAAGTTGTCATCTTCATGCTTTGAAGATTCGAAACAACCAAAGAATTTATTTAGCAGTAGTTTGCTTCGAGTAGATTGAGTGCATTAAAGAAAAACAATAGGTATACTGCTGCCTTCCTCACCTACGCATCACACTTAACTGAATAATTTTACCATTTTATTATTGTAATTTAACGTTGAGGTGTTCATTTTATTTAGATGCGAGTCGCCAGTAATGATGAACCATACTACACAGCAGGAAACCCTGTTCGCGTAGGCTGGAGATTTGGTTTGAGTTGTCTCAATGGTTTTCAACCTGCTGGGTCTAAATGTGCTGATTTCAAAGTTCGTTATTGTTGCCCTGGAGTTGCTCCGCCAGGTATTTATAGATATTAAAACAAATTTATCGAGAATAAAATGCATTCTTTGTACACACTCTACTTGATTACCACACTGACAATTCCCAACGTTCGTTTAGTAACTTCGTACTGTAACTTCTAGTAATGTTTAATATTTGGGTTTGAATCTTCGGCGGCACTGGGACCGGCGAAACTTTTCTAATATATATTTCATTATAATTTTAGAAGCCACTACTTGTCCTGGTTTAAAACTGCCTGCACGGGGAAGTATGACCCCCGCAAGGGCCAGAAGGCCGATGAAAATAGGAGCAACAGTCAGGTTTAGATGCAGAGGGGGATACATTATGGAAGGCTTTACATCAACATCTTGTTTAACGGGCGGAAAGTGGTCAACCGAAGTCCCGACTTGCACTAAAATCGGTAAATAATTTATTTTAATTTTTCTATTTGGGGTTCAACTGTATTACTTATTTGCTATTTTTTGATCGCCGTTTTATTATAAAGGAGCCACCGATAGAGGTAACGTTTAAAAATTCAGATTTTGAAGAATTAGCATTATTTACTGTTTTTGAAAAAGGATAATTAATGTATATACAACATTTTTGCAGAGAAACAATCATGTATATTGGGACGCGTACCGGTCAATGGAGAGAGAAGGCCAAAATTCAGGTCGAATTTTAATTTGGGTGACAAAGTCACATTTTCTTGTCGAAGAAATTATAAGCTATCGGGCAATAATGAGCTCATTTGTTCACCGGGAGGAACATGGAACTTGCCTGTTCCAACTTGCGAGAAGGAAGGTAAGAAACTAACCTTTTTCAAAGATTTCAATAAGACAGACAAGAAAAGCCCGGTGAAAATTGCCCGTGTGTAGAATTTATGTGTAATAATTTGTGTAATTTCAATCTGCAAGTATTATAAAATTACGACTGTTCATTGCTTATTTTGCAGAAGCCAAACCACAGGGACCTAAAGGATTGACATATTGTCGCGGAATAGGTGATCCACATTACACAACATTCGATAAAAAGAAGTTCGACTTCCAAGGAGATTGTTCGTACATTTTCACAAAATATTCTGGATCTGAACACGAGAATTTCCAAGTCGAGGTATTTTCACTTTTCACTGTTCCTCGTCTGACCCGTGATCTGATGCGGTAGTTAAATTATATAACTTAAATATAATGTTATAGGAATTTTGCTTATGTTAATTCTGAATTTAACTCAATTCAAGGTTATTAACATTCATCGAGGCCGCAAACTTGATGTTTCTTGGCTGGGAAGAGCCATTATAACTGTGTTTGGTCAGAAAATCAACTTCAATCCTGGACGCGAAATTCGAGTATGTTTTTAGAATATTTATTCTTTTCATTTTAAGTTTATGATAAATATATAAGCAGAACTTTTTTCTAACACTTTTATTTAGATCCAAAAATCTTGTTTGGCAAGACGTTATGTGGTCCACTGTGACATTTCCATTTTTTTTAGTTTTGACCTTTCTATGTCAATCTTATTTGCCAAGTAAAAGTTTTTATTATTTGCCATGATATATTATCAGTCAGTTGAGTTCATTTTAATATTATTAATGTTTGGCGTTGAGAATATCAAAGGTTTACTTCTTAACAGTACAATCTTCTTTTTGTATCTACTTTGTGGCTCTTCTGATTTATAGATGACTGTGTCATTAACCACAGATGTCACGTGATTCCTGTCAGGCGGCATTCTGCCCGGCGGTCAAGTTTTGTTAGTTCTAAGCGAAAATTTATTGCAACCTGTCAAGTTTATAAGTATGATACAGAATAATCCTATTATTAAACGAACGAAAACACTTGGGTTTGCGTTTGTCGGCATGATGTCGGAATAAGAGACGCAAACTGAATTTGATTGGTTAAATAAAATGTTAGAAAGCAAACATCGCGAGCCTTTATATAAAACAGAATCTTTGAATGCCATGACCTGATGGTCATCGAATTATATTGTGATTACTTCCGATTAACGGGGCTAGCGGGATTTGCCATACTTACAAGCATATATTTATATACTTCTCATATTGAATTTAATATTATTTTACATGATATTTGAAAAGTCGAAAATCATCAGTTGGCGATTTTCGTATCATCGATCTCTTTTTTTGAACATTACATGTGGCCTTGATTAAAAATTCGACCTTTTTATCATAACAATCCTGAAATCAACGTTAGTTTTACTTGCTTATTAGACAGAACTCAATCAATCCGACAACAACGTGCCGGTATGCATACGTGATTTGATCAATGATAGTCTGATATGGCCGCAAGGGGTGTTATGCCGGTTTGCAAAAATTCGCTGCAAAATTCGGTTTGCAGCATAATGAGTCATCCATGTTTTAGAAATTTATTAAAGCTTATGGAGACCCAAATAATTCATTACCATTCTCAGTATACGTGTTTTGTATTCCCAAGTATATATATCAATATATGTTGGGTTCTCTTCAGTCATAAACGATCACATGTAAATAAAATGAAACCTCAACATGCTCTTAGTTATTGCTGGCTAAAACAGTAATCGCATGATTTTACCTAGCGTTAATGTCAATTAGGTTGCTTCAATCTGTGTTGAAGATTCTTGGTTGTTTTCGTCGCACCAGATTAGCGGCTTAGAATCTGATCTCTATGGTAAACATATATCGCTATATACAGTGCATCTTGGTATAGCTAGAATTATGCCCACGGCAAGGTCGTGGTTTATACCAAAGTTTCACCTTATTGGGCTAGAGTAACAGCCACTCCCATTCTAGTTGAAATGTCGTTTGGTGGCCCAATCTGAACTTTAGAACACGTTATTGAAGTAAGTCACATTATTTGGCAGATGAATCAATTATTTTCTTCTATATTTTTTATCAATATTATTTCTCTTACCGAATTAAATAATTTGTTTTAATCCGCCGGCAAGACGGTATTCACTTGATGTCCAAGCTGAAAATACTCGCAGATGTACGCGCTGCCAATGTCCTTTTCATTGCAGCATTTATGTTAACGTTTTGTTGTTGATCAGAGTTGCACAAACACTAAAACGAAAATACCGCGCAAATAATAGCACGGAAAAGTTACTGTCACACAACACGACTTAGTAAATTTGTGCCCATCGCAGTTAGAAGACTCTACCAAAAAAATACTTCCTGCACTTATGCCCTAACCTTTTCTATGTGTAATAAAAAATATATTCTATGTTACAGTCCTTCTATTTTATTCCATTTTCTTCATATAGACATTTGATTGAAGTGAGGCTTTCTCATGTCTTATTCAGTTTTTGATTGCCAATGTGTCCGAATTTTCAAAAGGTTTTGTCCCTCGTGGAGTCATAGTCAAGTGTACTTGGGTTCCTCGCGCATATATATGTAGACATAGATTTTCCTCGATAAATTCAACCATTTTAGATTCTAATTATATAGTACAGGCGATGTTTTCTTAGATGCTTGAAAGTGAATTACCTAATGGCAAACACCAGTGTCAAGAAGCTCGGATTAACGTTTTAGATAGTAATTAATACTTAACGTATAATTTTCAGGTCAATGGTGAAGAAGTTAATCTTCCTTTCTCGTCACCCGCGGTTTCACAATATCTCTAAGCGGCCGATTTGTGATTCTGGAAACGTCTTATAAACTAAAAGTTAGTTTTGATGGGCGCCACTCCCTTGCTGTCGCTGTTCCACCAGAATATTTTGGCGGAAAATTGGAAGGTAATTTGAAATTTGTTCATATGTAAAATGCACAACGCATTCCTATTTAATATTGGAATTTTTTTTCAATCCGAGGACAATTTTTCGTATTGCATTTTATGATATTGTACTTTCAAAGGGAATTAAATATTTTCATATTTGAACAGTGAAGTGCTTAATATATGAATGAATTAATATATGGATGAATTAACGCAAATCAGAATTGGTGAAATTTACTGTACTTATGAAAGAAGAGTAATTGATAGTTCAAACTTGTTTATGTTTTCGAACTCTTTTTATCTGATCAAGACTACCGGTATTGATATCTGTAATCTTGTAAAAATCGCCCGATGAGTCACATTTAATTAATGTAAGAAAATGTCACCCATAATGTTACTTTTTAAGTTGTTAATTCAATGATGCATTATCCTTGGCCGATAACGTATTAGTGATGTCTAAATAAAAAACAAACATATCGCAAACAGTCGACTATCTGCTGTCAGGCATTAATTTGCGATGAGAGATGATAATCATATTGGCTGTTGTCCAACGACAATTTCTTAAAATTTCGACAAAATAAAGTTCCTTCACGTTTGTTTGGATACAAAACAAAGCTTCTGTGGGCAATTAAGCAAGTTTTTATGAGAAACTAAATTGTCTATTGCAACAGTAAAAAAAAGAAATTTTATTTTATTTTATCGGGAATCTCATCGGGTTCTTGTTTAATAATATAATACAGACACGAATTTTGCCCGGAAGCTATAATTTCCGTCCAAGTGTTTAAGCTGTTCAGGACTGGTATAAATGTTTCGAATTAGAATGTAAATCATCCACGGACCATGAAAAAAAACGAATACACTTGTATTACACAGTTTATAAAAATAAGTAGAACATGAAAGGCTTGTGAAGGGATTTTCTCATTTCAATCTCGACCAAAAATGTTCGAAAATATTAAAAAGATAACTTTGTTGTAGCGGAAGAGTTTACAAACCTGCCATAATTATGTTTCATGTTTATTCAAATTCTCAGGCTTGTGTGGAAACTTTGACGGAGATGAGAACAACGATATCGTCGTCGACGGTGTCGAAAACCCAAACGCTCACGGAAATAGACACATCACAGACACTAAAACCGAGTAAACATTTTTGCGAGTTTGATAAGATGAGATAAGAGTTTTACAGACATTTCTTGCTTCCTCAACTGGTTTAGCTAGTTTTTTTTGTATTAGAAGATAGTCACGCATAGTTCAAATAAACCAACAGTGTAGGCCACTCCCTATGAACAATTTTGTTGGTTCAGTCTGAACGGTAAAAGAGATTGCAAGTGTATCCTATTAAATATAAGTTTCTGTTATAATAATAATAAACAGTTTATATTTAACGTTCGGACTTGAATATTAATTAATTTCTCCCCGCTCTCAGTTGCATCAGAGAAGATCTTAAAGACAGTGAATGCTCCAAAACTGGGGCGTCAGCAAGATTCAGAGCAAGATGCGCTGTTATTACTGAGGTTGGAGGCGTATTCTCCGCTTGTCACGCGGTAATAACCGCGCAAACCTTCTTCGAGGTAAGAAAGCTGTGTGATACCTTAAATCTTATTTTGATAGCATTCCAGTAGGCCCACATATAGTGATTTTTCCTGTGCTGTTTCATCACGACGCAAGTCCTAAGTGCGGGTCGACAAGCTGCGTTAAACTACTAGAACTACATGCCTTTTTAAAATGGTATTACAATCAATTCATTTCGTCACAATCAGGATTGTATATTCGATGTCTGCGTGTACGGTGGAGCTGACGTAGCGCTTGAGAATGCCGTTGCTGCCTACGCTGAAGCTTGTAATGACGCGGGAGTAAGAATCGGAAAATGGAGAGAAGTAACAAAAACACGTAAGAGCAACGTATATCCTCAATAATTTCAGCTACTGAATGATAAAAATCAGCTACTAAATGATAAATCTGATTGTATTATAGTCTTTCCTACTGGGCAAGATGTTTTTCTTTCAACTATCTCGCCAGTCGCACTGGGTTTTACAGACAATAGGCGCTATTTTCAATATACAAGTCAATGCATTTCTAAATGATTGACCACCACGATGGTACCTAAGCAAAAGTTTTTAAGTGTATTCATTTTTGTTCATTTACCCCATATTTTACAGCGCTACCATGTCCTGCCAATGCTCGTTACGAGTTGTGTGCAACAAAATGTCCCGCTACCTGTTCAGATCGGTCACCTAAATGTGCTTCTGGATGCGTTGAAGGTAGGTCCATACCATTTAAAGGAAGCTAATGTAAATGCAGTTGATAGAAAATATCGGCGTTATTAATCTTGCTCGTTTTATCAGTATCATGTCCAATCATAATATAAATTACGAGTATGTTGATATATTCATAGGTTGCGTGTGTAATAACGGATTCGTTCTATCTGGTAACCAATGCGTAAGGCGATCAAAATGTGGCTGCACATTCGAAGGAAAATACTACTTGGTAAGTTGCAGATTATGTTTTGATATCGTATACAATATGATAAAATAAGTTTAATCAATGATAATGTGTAATAAAAGTACCAGATCATAGGCTGTGAACCCAAAAGACAGAAGCATTGTAAAAACTATTGATAGAATAAAAAATTAAGCAACGCAATAGATTTTGATTTTTCCTATGCATTTTCTGTGCGGGGGCCTTGTTATCTTTATTTAAACTAAAGTAGTATACTCCTGAAAGACAATTTGTAATACATAACATTCCCAAATCTTGTTTGATATTTGTCAAAATGAGAAAACGGCTAATACGTAGGTATCATTCTGAATTCGAGAAAATTTGAAAAAGTAATGCCTACTGATTTGACTTCTGTCCAAACGTGTTCGTCTGGTTGTGAACTTCGCGTACTTGATATTGTGGGTGCTGAATTTTGATTGCAGAGAACGACAGTTCACTGCTTTATATATATTATACAAGTTTACCGACACGCGCTGAAGAATTTTTCATAATTCTTTATTTTTATCACTAGAACGGACAAACAATTTTGACAAACGGATGTACTCGTCGATGCACATGCAGAGCTCAAGGAATGGTTTGCATGGATGTTAAATGCAAAGCTAGACAGACGTGTGGCAAAAACGAAAAAGGCCGAGAAGCGTGTCAGGCAACTGGTATTTGCATATTTGTTTCTACTTTTTGTTGAGTTTGAGTGATATTGCAAAACTCCAAGCTTTTTTCAATATTATTTATAGAAAATAATACTCGATTAGTGTATAGACACGGTGCAAAAGATATTTTCCCGGATTTCTGAATAAATAAAACGAAAAGAGTAAAATGTTTCACTGAATTTTCTGGTAAAGAAGCAAATTCATAAAATACGCATATGCCTTGAACTAGAATGTTTTTAGAAATGTGCATTCAATATCACATGACCAACCGCGGATTTTGGTAACCAGCAGTGTACTAGCCAGTGTCGTCGTTTGTAAAACTTGGTTCTATTGGCAAACCTTGATCATACAAAGTCTATGTATATGTAATAGAAACACGTTTAAAAGTTTGGCCGAAACATTGAAAACGAATTTTGATTTAATCGCCTATATTGTCTCTTTAATAATTCAGAAACTGCAAGATGTCGAATTATGGGAGGTTCTCAATACAATCTTTTCGATAAAGTTGGGATCCAGAGGTTTAATGGAAAATGTAGCTACAGGTTGGCAGAATCTTGTGGTCTTGCTGAAGATGACGAAAGTTGGTTCTCAGTCTATATCAAGAATGAGGAACGACGAAATCGAAAGAACAAAGCCTACGTTAACAGTGTAACTGTTAAACTCGGACAAAACATCGAAATTACGTTGATGAAAGGTGGTATGGCCATGGTAAGTATTACTATTTGTTGAATCTTTTTATTTACCGATTTTTTTATAATATATGGTGTGAAATTGTTTCAGGTAAATAATCGTCGGGTGAGAGCAGTTCAGAATGATATGTTTAGCATAAGACGAAGAGGCAGAGGAGCAATAGTTCTCAATACCATGCATTCTTTGAGAGTTCGACTAAACAACAACGGTGTTCTTGTCAGAGTTCCAAGTACATATATGGGACAGGTAACCATTAGATCTTTTACAACCCTCTCTATTTGTTTTCCCACTTCGTGTTCTTCCTTTTCATCATCATCACCATCTTTTTTCTTTCTTACTTTGTCATTTTTACCTTCGTCCCCTAACTGTTTATATTGTTTCCCCAATATTGACCCCCATCCTTTCTATATCATTCTCATTTATTAATTCATATTTTTGGCCTTGTTATTGTTTTTAATATCTATGTCATTTTATTCAAGATGTGCGGGCTGTGTGGAAATTATAACAAAGACCCAACAGATGACATGCAGATGTCTGATGGTAGCATGGCTGAGGACTTTAATGAATTTGGTCTCAGTCACGAAGTGGAGAGCTGTGGTGAACCGATTCCAGATCCCGTTACTTGCACAGACGACATGAGAGCTAAATGGTGAGAAGCGGTTTGATATAATTTGTCTTCCTGAATGAATATGGAATTTTTTTCGATATAGCATCAATTAATGATTTTTTTACTTGTGTCTGGTGGAAGCAATAACACCATCTTATTGTTTTTCTTTTATTTGGAGTAAATGATTATTTTAAATTAAGATAGGTTTATATGTTGTTTAATGCTTCCTACTTAAACAAATATATCCTCATTTTTATACAGGAGTACCAAAACCACTTGTGGTGCTATAATGGACAGAGATGGAGTATTCAAGGCTTGCATCTCAGAAGACTCAGTGAATTATATGGAAGCTTGTATCTACGATGCTTGTTCGACTAATGGCGATCAGTCTTCATTCATTTCTGTAAGATTACTATATGTATATATGAGAGTCACACAAGTTGAACTGGCTCTATGAGTTTAATTGAATACTAAATTATCCTCTTACAGGCCTTTGAACAATACGCTGCTGACTGCAGAGCCGGAGGAGTTCGACTTTGTGACTGGAAAAAGCAATTTGGATATGACAGAGTGCAATGCCCTGAGCACAGCACTTACAATCCCTGTGCTACTGTTTGCCAAGACACTTGCTTGAATCCAACTGCGTCACTCACGTAAGTATAAAAGTATGATAATATCGCATAATGGACTATCAATTAAAGAAAAATTGTTGAAAGAGATCATGTTATTTTTACTAGTAAGTGTAAATTGACTCAAATTATATATTATATAATGCAGTTTTATACTCTAAGCACATCATCGAAATATAGATTACAAAATACATTGCTGATTGACAGTACTGAATTTCATGTATATTTTGATTAATAAATGCAAAATTTTCTAGTAGCACCTCGTAAGTTAAAAATCCTCCTGAATTTTATAAGTGCTGTCAAAATATACTTCAGCAAATAATATAGCATTTAATACAATCTTTAGTGTGGGTACTATAAAGCCTTTCCAACATGAGGCTGCACTCCTCTTGTTGGAATATTCTTTAAAAACTTCTCCATCTATGTGGTTCAGGTGTGATTCAGCAGAAACTGTTGAAGACTGTGAATGCGATTTTGGTTACATTCGTGATGGTGATCAATGTGTGAGGAGTCAACAATGTGGCTGCACTGTCGGAGGGTCATATGTTTCCATGGGTGATTAATTTTTACTTAGTTCATGTTTTTTTGTCTGTTTTTTAGTGTTTTTAAATTTGTATAAAGTGTGTAAGAGATCATTTTAGATTTACAACCAACCTTGGATTAAACATTAAATATTCTAAATTTTTGTATATTGATCAAATATTTTTTTATAAATAATTCAACATTTTTATTTTTATTTTCAGGTGGTATGGTACAAGGAAATGACGACAATGCTGTGTGTGAATGTAGAGGACAAAATAATATATTCTGCTCTTGCAATTCTGGATATAGGTTGAAGGATGATGTTTGTACAGGTTTGTACCTCTTCATTTGGAGTTTGCAAGAGTCATAATATTTCAATGTATTTTGTATTTTACCTGTGATACTGATACAATTTATTGAACAGCTTTTTTTGTGTTCCTAATAATTGTAATATTAATTTATGTGTCAATATGTATATTTCTACTAATAAAAATAGCTAAATTAAAAGTTTTCAGTTAGATTATTTATTCATATTAAGAACTGTTAATTGTTGAAGCCTCTGTTTAAAATCTGTTTAAAAACTTTGGACGAGCGAAATTAATCCAAATAAATGTCTAGTTTGGATTATTGTCAATGCAGAGGTGCTTTTTTTAACAGCTATTGATCTAAATACTTGTCGCCAAAATCTTGGAAGAAGTTGTTCAAGAAGAGCTCGTTGTTCTGTTGATGAAGCAGGACAATATTCTTGTCAGTGCAAAGCTGGTTTTATTGGAAATGGTTTCAGATGTCGAAGTGAGTATTACACCACATTATCAGCTTTATAAATTTTTTGTACTAAAAAGTTTCAATAGACCTAGATAATTTTAAAAACTTTTACAGTTTGGAAATTGTGCGATATTTTATAATCAATTTCTGTAATATTCCAATTTGTTACATCTAAATCTAAAGCAAGTAATAATCTCATTTCATAGTAAATAAAATTATAAATATCTGTGTTTTTTTCAAGATGCATGTCGACAGCGCTATGGAAGATGGTGTAACAAAAATGCAGTGTGTGTGCGAGGTGGAGATGGCGCATACATGTGCAGATGCAAGAATAACTTCTTTGGCAATGGATTATATTGTGCATGTAAGTTTCTGGATTCTATCAATGAAGAACATCATCAGATTTTCCATCAATTTTTTCTCTCGATTGTCGACTAAGTGATACATTTGATTGTACCATGTGTAAATGGGGTATTTTCATTGTTTGGGTTTGCGAAAGATATTACATTTGCATGCATCATCAGAAAATTAATTTTTGTTCTGTGATGTTTATTAATTTTAATATTTTTTGATGCAATATTGAAAAACTGAGTTCAAATTAATTACTTTTAACAAAATAGCGGGACGCGCTAGATCACGCTGTCATCGTCGCTTCGGAAGAACGTGTAACGAGAATGCCAGTTGCCAGAGAGATTCAAGACGTGGATTTGTCTGCAGATGCAACAGAGGATACTTTGGAAACGGATTTAATTGTCAAGGTAAGTAAATAAAATTTGCTCACTTATTTAGAAAACAATTAATTTTCTTTGTGATTTTTCCTCTAAGCACATTTCAGTGCAAACTTTTGAGAAATATATCAGGGATATAAATGCTTTATCTAGGTGGAACACCAAAAGACAGATGCCATGAACTTTATGGTCAAGTATGTGGAGCAAATGCGCGCTGCAACAATGTTGATGGCGAGTACAAATGCCAGTGTGTTGGTGAATACTTTGGTGATGGATTTGAATGTGAAAAAGATGATGATGAAGATGAAAAAGAAGAAGAATTTGATCCAGAAGGATGCAGGAAACGATATGGCCGAAGATGCTCTAGACGTGGAAGATGTGTGAGAGAAGGTGGTGAATACATGTGCAAGTGTAACGATAATTATGTTGGGAACGGCCTCAGATGTCGAAGTAAGATTTAGTTGCAATATATGTAAATTTTCTTAAATATTCCTTTTGCTGTCCATTGACTTGCTCTTTTCCCCACTACTTCATTGCAATGCTCATTCTGTTACTCTTTTTTTTCTTCTATTTTTAAATTTGTATTGTTCAATTTCTGTTGTGTTGTGTACTACTGCTTTTTGAGAATACCTAAACGAAACTTTGCTTACACCAACAGATCCATGTCGTGCCCGGTATGGACGAAGGTGCAATGCAAATGCCAGATGTGTAAGACGAGATGATGGTCAATTTGAATGCAGATGCAATGATGGTTATTGGGGTTCTGGTCTTTATTGCGGATGTAAGTTACTTAATAAGTGTCACAATATCGTATGATCATGAATCTATTATTTATTGTACCGCTATGGTTAAATCAACTCCAATCATTTATCGGTATTTATCTTTCGATAGGCATATAAAATGTATAAATAGTAGTGATAAATAGTGTCCAAATGTTAAAAATGTAACTTTCGTTCTTCCCACAATTGTTTCTAACTCAATACTGAATTTGTTAATTTTAGCTGGTGAATCAAGAACTAGATGTCATCGTCGTTTTGGAAGACGATGTAGTGATAATGCAGAATGTCAAAATGGTGATGACGGTCAACCCAAGTGTGCATGCAAATATGGATTTTTTGGAAATGGCTTCTACTGTTCTAGTAAGTTTTGTCCAGGAATATCTGTTCCTTCCAAACCACACAGCATGTATCCAAATTACTCTTGATAATATCACATATTTTATAGCTTTGACCCTTTAACCCCCTTTAGAAAATTTCTGACGGTTTGTTTAGTTTAGACTGAATTGGCAATGCTTGTATAACTTTGGCTGTTAAAAATATTTTTTTCTTCATTTTTAGGCGGAGAACCAAAAGACCAGTGCCATCGACGATGGGGCCGCATGTGTGGGCCAAACTCTAGGTGTAACAATGTAAATGGAGAATATCAATGCCAATGTAATGACAATTATTTTGGTGATGGTTTCGATTGCGACCCTGATGATGAAGAAGATGAGACACCAACAGACGAATGTGAGAAGAGACATAATCGTAAATGCGACGTGAATGCTGCGTGTACTGATTTGGGTGCTTCTAAATGGGTATGTCGCTGCAATGCTGGATACTCCGGAACCGGCTTGGAATGCAAGAAAGATCAAGGTAAAATAATATTTCATGTTGTTTAATCGTTGTTTATTTAAAATTAATAATACCTGTATTTAATTTTTTAATTTGTAGACATGATGTCTGTGCACTGGGAAAGATGTACAGAAATCTATACAGACCATGCTCTGATAATGCTGACTGCATGATGATGGGTGATGGAAGATATATGTGCAAATGTACCTGGATTCTGGGGAAATGGATTCTACTGTTCAAGTATATAATGATGGTTATTTGAGAATAATTTTAAATTCGTAATGCATTTTTTGAAAACTGGTGCGCATTATAGTAAATAAATTATGTGCTCATTCTTATACTAAATTACTAACACTTGAAAATTAAAATTTTATTTTCGTATTCACCTTCTAATAAATTCATGTGTAATTCGTTAATTTTGATAAATAAAAAGGTTTCATTGTTACATACCTAGAATTAAACTGCTTGATACCTTTATTGAACTCATGTGCATGCTAAACTCAAACAGGTCATCATTGAGATCATTGTACAGTATGCCTGTGTTTCTTGGATTTGTACTTATATTTTATATTGATGATATATATGTAAAATCTTTTATATAAAATTTATGAATTATGATTACTCATAATTCTCATGATTCGAATATACTAGGAGGAAAGTACAACAACAGATGTCATCAAAACTATGGTAAAGACTGTAGTGGTAACGCTAAATGTACCCAGGTTGATGGCAATACAAATGTCAATGTAACAGCGGATTCTTTGGAGATGGAAGATTATGTGTCCGTAAGTTTTACTGCATCATTTATAGTTATGATTTTCAGAACATAACTTTTTATTGTGAAAACCGTTTCAGTTTTTTTGAACGTTGCCGCTGTAATGTTTGGTTATGATTTTAGGAGGCTTTATTTTTGAATGTTATAGATATTGAACTGAAAATTTCTTGATAAATATATAATCACTTTACAGAAGGAAAATGGGTCAATGAATGCCAACAGGCGTTATGGACGAAGGTTGTAATAAAAACGCAAATTGTGTGACAAGAGATGGACAAGCAGTATGTCAGTGCAATAGAGGTTTTGTTGGCAATGGACAATAGTGCAGAGGTAACTTTGTTTTAACTAATTTTTGTTATTTTAATAGGCAATTAGATAATATGTTATTTTCAATTGAATGTGGACTGGCTGATGAATATTTTCAGATCACACAAAATTAAAAAAAAAAAATTTTAAAGTTTTTATGATAATTCATTTGATTTACTAAACAGGAGCATGCCTTAGTCGCTATGGGTCGCAGATGTTTCCGGCAAATGCAGATTGCATTGAAATTGAAGGCAACTGGGAATGTAGATGCAGAGGAGGATTCTTTGGAAATGGACTGTATTGTCAAAGTAGAGCAAATGTCTTATATTGTTTCCTGTTTCAGATTTTTTTGGTCCATATCTGATGGACACCACTCACGCACAGTGTGAGAAATGAACTACCATGCGCAAGAGCTAAAACTTTTCAGTTCCTTGAACTAATACTGAAATTGGAATGGCGGCTTAAACACAGCTTCGTCTGTATTGATATCAGACACATTCATAATAGATTAAAATTGCATTAGTTGGAGAATTAAGATTCAAATCTTTTTTCATATATAGTATTCATTTTGGTTTACTTTTTGTCAAATAAATACCAATGCCTGCCTCATTGAACAATTTTTTACATTTCGACAATTATTTACACTTTTTTCAGGTGGAACACCTGCCTCAAACTGCCACAGAGACTATGGCCGACGTTGCAGTGACAATGCTTCTTGCCAAGAAACAACTCCTTCTACTTACAACTGTGTTTGCAATAACAACTACTGGGGAAATGGATTCTATTGTGCTAGTAAAGTCTTTTAGGATAAAACGTTAGGTGTTACGATATATTTTGTAAAATAAATTCCAATTCTTTTTCAAGGCGGTCAATGGAAAAATACTTGTCACAGACGCTATGGTAGACGTTGCGGCAGGAATGCATTCTGCGATATGAGAGATGCAACACCAGTATGTAGATGCAGACGAGGTTATTATGGAGATGGATTCTCTTGTGATGGTATGTGTTTCAAATGTATTGATGAATTTGTAAATCAATCATATTCTGAAAGCTACATCCCTTTTTTGGTTTCTATATGATATATTTCTAAGTTGTTAATTGAATTACCATAAAAAATTCTACAGATTCTGATGAGGAGTCTATACAGACAGATTGGGAAATGTGTGCCCGTTATCATCATAGAAGATGTTCTGAGAATGCTGATTGTTTCGCATTTTATGGCAATAGATATGGTTGCAGATGTAGGGCTGGATTCTTTGGGGACGGATTTTATTGTGCAGGTAATAATTATATCACTTTTTTTCTACTTCATATTTTATATCTATAAATCAGGTTGATGCTCAATAGTTTTCATTCCGACCTAATAAAAGATTTTAGGAATGTAGATTTAGTGATTTACTCAAAATTCCAAAATTTTAAAATGCTTAACATTTTTCAACTTTTTTAACCATATCTGTATTCAACATCTGAACGTTTCAATAAATTACTTGTAGATGGTAAAGAAAAGAACCAATGCCATAAACAATTTGGTAGATTATGTAATTCCAATGCAAAATGTACTGAAGTTGATGGATATTTCAACTGTAAATGTAATGATGGATATTTTGGAAATGGATTTTATTGCTCACGTAAGTTATTACTAATCTCTAATGATATCATAAAAATTAGGAAGAAAGTATGTATAGATTTCAACATGAGCTGTTTTCATTTCCATTTTTATAGAGGGACAATGGGAAAATGAATGTCACCGACGAATATGGCAGACGATGTGGTACTAATTCACAATGTCAAACCATTTGATGGAGAACCTGTATGTACATGTAATAGAGGATATACAGGAACTGGATTCATGTGTGTAGGTCAGTGAAAAAGTTTTAATGTTTTAGGATTTCTAAATAAAATGGTATTTTTAATTTATGTTATATTTGCTATGTTTGCTACTTTATCTCATAACAATCTCGTCTTAGTTATTCTGTATTTTTAGAGAGAGAATGATCAAATATTGATTTGATTCTGGCATAAATGTATACTTTTTGCAGGCCAGTGCTACCATCGTTATAATCAACCATGTTCAGAATTTGCTGATTGTGTTGACACTGGAGATGATGGTTGGCAATGCAGATGCAAAGGAGGGTTATTTGGCAATGGTTTATATTGTGCAAGTATGTTCATAAAATAATGCAGTACAAATATGTCAATTTTTTTATCATTACTTATCGATTTTAATCGGTAAGTATGTTGATAGGTATTTGTATGTTTGTCTGTTTGTCTGTTAGATGCACGCGATATCTCACGAAAGCAAGATTGAATCTGCTCCATATTTTGCATGTGCATTCATCTTAATTTGAGACCCGTCGAGTGTGTGTGTGCGATGCGCAGTGCGCAAGTTACAAGAGCGGATGAATCGAAACTGCAGTTTCTGTTTTGGGGGATCCCCTAACTATCGATCGATAAGTCTTCGGTTTCCAACCGATATTCTCGTTTAGATTTTGTGCACAATACAATCTTTTTCAAATAAAACCTACAGTTTATGGTGATTACTAAGAATCAAACCATTTTAATTTGTGATGATTTCAAGAAAATTGTTCTGAACCTAACATAGTGTCACCATGATTTAATAAAGATTTTGAATCAGAGATAGGACATTCAACCAAAGTGTAAACTTACGGTAAAAATAGTCTTAACTAAACCAAAAATAATTTTTAAATTGTACAAATATGCTGCCGACTGGTACCATAGAACTATGCGAATAGTGTGGGTAAAAAACTCAGAATAATATTCATCACAACAAGATTGATTTTTTCAATTTTTTTCAACTTTTCCATTATCTTACATGTGTTTATATCCCGATACAATTTATGATAAAATAGATGGTAGAAATGTGTGTATCGTTTTTATAATATTAGTTCTCATCAAGGTACAGCATTTCAAGTTTGCATAGCTAATTTATAAATACCGGTATGTATAAATATATATAATCGAATCATCTTCGAAATTATGTGCTTTTATTAATATTAATATATTTTATAGGAGGAACACCAAAATCACAGTGTCACCGAAAATTTGGCAGGACGTGTAGTGAAAATGGAAGATGCAGAGTACTTTTGAATGGAGATCATGAGTGCACCTGCAATGATAATTATTGGGGAAATGGATTTTATTGTTCATGTGAGTTGCACTTTTCGTGTGTAAGGAATTTTGATGACTGTTTATTATAACAACAAGTGATTTTAAATTATTTATTACTTATTACTGTTTAATTATATTTTATTAAACAAATATCAAACTTTATAATTTACAATATTATTCCTATACTACAACTTTTTCTATAATATACACAGCTGGCAAATGGGAAAATGAATGCCATCGTCGTTTTGGCAGAAGATGTGGTCAGTATTCATCATGCACTCAAGTAGACGGTCGTCACCAATGCAGTTGCAATCGTGGGTACTGGGGCAATGGTTTTAACTGCAAAGGTAAGAATCAGATCTCGTAACTAAATCTTCTCTTGTTGAAGTGTGAATGACGATAGCTAAGTGTTATTCAAATTTATTACACATAGATTCTGGAATATCAAACTATTTGGATATCATCACAACACCATGTTCTAAATTTGTTATCTTGTTTTAATTAAAATATTATGCAGTCAAAATTTAATAATATACATGTATATCCAATAATAATTTTATATATTATGTATAATTTTGCAGAAGTCCAGGAAGACATGGAGTCTGTTGACTGGAGAAGATGTGCAGCACATTTCAACAGACGATGTGCTGATGCTGGTTCCGATTGCATGATGTCGAGTAGTGGAAAATACAAGTGTCAATGTAGACAAGGATATTATGGCGACGGATTTTTTTGCGCTAGTAAGATTTTTTCATATTTATTTTTTCAGATTATATATTTATATGTACCGTATATATTTATGCTTATTGAAACTTTGTTTTCCTATTTATTCTAATTGTAATCGTTGTAGTATTGCATTTAGATTTATATATAGTTCTTTCATTTCTAAATAGTCAAAATTCTATAACTGGAAATATCAAACAAATAATTTATATTTTATTTCCATATCGTGTATGATTTATTCCATTAGGAATAACATTCATTCTCTTATAACTATATAGCTGAGAAGACACTTTTTCATAATATTTGAGTATTTCCATTCATTTTTCAGATCGAAACATCAGAGACAGGTGTCATAGACGATTTGGAAGAAGGTGTCATCCAGATGCCAGCTGCCAGCGAGGAGATGATGGTCAATACCAATGCAGTTGCATATCTGGATATTGGGGAAATGGATTCTTTTGCTCAAGTATGTTTAATTGGACCGAATATATGTTCACCATAATTTACTAAAGACACCTATTTGCAAGTAGATAAATTTGAGCAATGGGAGTTGTATGGATATGTAATAGATTACATTTTATTACTCACAACCTGTATGTTTAATTGAAGTCTTTCCATATTTCCTTTAGTCATACTAAAGCATAATACCATAGCTGAAATGTGACAATATTCAGTTTTTAAGCCCAAAAGTCTAAGAGTTTTATGATGTCAGAGACATTTTTAACAGCAATGCATATTTCAATAGTTGTTGACTAACACGATTTACATCATTGAGATTAAAAATATAGCAAATTTGTTGCTCTGTTTGTTGAATAAATATGTATAATTTTGCAATAAGAAGTTACAAAACAAAACTTGCTTGACATTAAAAAATGAAATTCTATGAAAAGTGATATGAAATAGAACTGTAAACCCATCCTTTTTACTAACTGTATACGGTAACTGTTTCTTTTTTGTTTTTACACATCATCGGACCACATTTCTTCACTGTTTTTTTTATTTTAATAATTAATTAATTTTAATTTCCAGCTGGCAAATGGGATAATGAGTGTCACAAAAGGGAGGGTAGACGTTGTTCTTTCAATTCTAAATGTGTTGAAACTGATGGTCAATTCCAGTGCCAATGCAATAAGGGTTTCAATGGAAATGGAATTATTTGCATAGGTAATAAATAGAGTAAATATTATTTTACAAGAAATCTTTATGTGCACCTGATTTGAAGCATGCCATTTTACAAGACAATAGGATTTGATGATTTCAGTAGACATCAACTTTTTTCTATTAATAAATAATATCAAACTGATATGTTGCACACTTGCACATGAAAATTTTTGTTGAAAAACCCCAAAAATGTTAATTTTATTTCAAAACGTAACTAAGTTTTTACAAGCTGCATTAGGCTGCCCAATAGCGTATCTTAACCAGGTTGACTTGAGATTTGAATTGAGTTGACGCAAATACATGACCTAACATCAAAAAATGATTATTTGGGTATATAGATGCTAATATATTACAACAGATATGTCTCAAGTCTGAGCATTGAAGGCATTAACATGACCCTTTACCATAGAAGTAAATAGTGATCATTTTTGGCATATTTCCTAGCGCCACTTCACAAACACATGCATGCTGATTTGTTTTTTATTCAGATCAATGTCGATATCAGTATGGAAGGTCATGTTCAAGCACTGGTGGTGTTTGTACTGACACAGGAAAAGATGGTTGGCAATGTAGATGTGGAAGTGGATATTACGGAAATGGATTTTACTGTGCACGTAAGATGGAGTTTAATTTAGTTTTACCTTTTAAAATTTTAATTTAGGTATTTCAATATGCTGTTATGTAGGTATTCATTTTGTATTTGTATTCATCATTGGATGTGACCACAGACACAACAGTTTACAAACACAGACAGACTGATGTTTTATCTCAATCAGGCGCGCAGCCAGGATTTTCAAAAGGGGAAATTACCTTTTATTCTGAAACAGTCGCCGGGATTAGGTGCTCGTTAGAAAAGCCGACTTTTTCGGCGTATAATAACTTTTTTGTCGCGTAAAATATTCAATCCATGACAACTAGGAGAATCTAGTACGGTATGTCCTTCTATAAAAATTTAGTTGTATCCAACGTAACTTGCGGTTGCGTCTTCTTACATCAAAATAAAAACAGTACTAGTTTTAAAATACCGCGACAATCTGTGGACATTAAAATATGAGATAAACTCCCTGCTTGTAATTAGTTATGATACGTGTTTTTGTGACTTATTTTTTAAAATAAAAGTAGACTGAACATACTTTAGGTTATTTATCTTATATATCACCACAACTCGGAAAAAGTCGCATTTCTAACCTTGTATATTGTTAACACGAAAATTTTCGACGACAATTTGAAGTAATGGATAAAAAGGTTATCCCGCACACAATTTACTGTGTTTTGATTTTAGCGACCGTATGGTTACCAATGCTGACCAAACATAATGTGTGCTGTAGGCACACGGAATTTTACGATTTACAATGCCAAGAGAATCGTTTTTAATATGTCGCGGGCCGCCTACTACAAAATTTATAAAGTTTACGGTTTTATTTTTAGTATTTTATATTGCCGCTTTTCAATCAAAAAATTTACGTTGCGGATTAACTTCTTTATTTGTCCTAATTGAGCATCTCGCCGTCGATGAATGTATAAGAACTGTCACAGGATTCACAATTCTGTGCAAATACAAAAATAAAGTAATTATCATAAATGTTGTGGCACATATTTGTGGGAAATTTTTGATTTAGAAAGAATAAACACGAAGGTAAAGGTGTTTATGGCCTTAATAACACGTCACACTAACAAAAACTACCGGCGATTGCCACTGCTCTCAATTATTTAGAAATCTTTGTTTCACTACATTTTTCCGAACTTTCCTGATATTTGTGCAAGAGGCTGAGTTTCAGAACATCATTTAGTTTGCATTATCAACTTCGGTCTACTTCCGAGTATGTAGGAAATGATTGTCATTTTGTATTCTACTTGTATAAATATAAAAATTCAATTTCAAATTTTTTTTCTTATTAGGAGGCAGAGCAAAATCTCGATGTCATTCACGATATGGTCGGGTATGCGATAGGAATGCAAGGTGTAGGAGAGGAGATGGAGGACAATATGAATGCAGATGTAAAGGTGGTTACTGGGGCACTGGATTGTACTGCTCAAGTAAGTATTTAGTATAAGTATAAGTTTATTTCGACTCCATAATCAGCAATAGACGATAAAAAAATAGATAAAAACAAAAGTAAAAGTAACTGATTATAGAATCGGGAAAGCGAACAAAACCTAGAGTAAGGTTTGAAACGTACAGATTTTAGATGGAAAGGTATTGATAAAAGAAGTAGTATGTGTTCGCTCACCCAAGGGTAGGGTAGGTTGGCATTGAATAGTGTTGGAAGTTCATGTAGTTATTTCACTTATTTTATAAGTATAAGTTTATTTCGACTCCATAAGCAGCATAACAATACAATGATTGGTCAAAATAAATAAATAAAAACTGATTATGAAATCAGGAGAGCAAACGAAACCTTAGATAAGGTTTAAAACGTATGGTATGTATATAAGATGGAAGGTTTTGCCAAGAAAAAGTGGTACGTGTTTACTCACCTAAAACAATTTATTTTTGAAACAATTTGACATAAATAAATATCCTTGCATGATTTTAATTTTTATGGTACATGATTTTTGGCAATATTAGTTTATATTGTCTATATGTATTATATTTGGTCCCTATTGAGTGTATAATGGTAATTGTTTGAAACATGTTTGTTATCACGCCACTGATTAATGTGTATTCATTTTGGAGGATAACTGTGTGCAAGATGATTAGACTCCCCGTTTGTTGCAGGATTTATGATAGTCCAAAATTCCAAATTTATTCATCCAAAAAATGCCATGCTCATACCCGATATAACTTGGCAACAGCCATGGGGTTTTACGGTATGACTGGGATGCATCATCAGCCCTAAGAAAATTCTATCTTTTGTCCTACTAGTAAGATGGGTGATTTTTTTTATTTCATAGTTTACAATTACCTGTGACAATCAAGAAACTAAACGAAGTGTTGCAATGGTTATTTTGTTACTTTTATTACTTGCTTGATTCATAGTTGCATTTGCAAAAAAGTTTTTCTATTTATTTCACAGTGGGTAAATCGGTTGATCAGTGTCACCGACGATTCGGTAGGAAATGCAGCAAATATGCAACTTGCGATGATGTTGATGGAGAATACCAATGCAGATGTAATCGTCAATATTCAGGAGATGGTTTTAACTGTGATGGTAAGTTTTGTATCTTATTTCTATCTATGCTGTTGAATCCAAACAGTGAGGAATCTTAGGATATCAATGAATGTGTTTTTCTAAAGTAATCTTATTTTTAGACCGTTATGAATGGAGTTACATGATCCAAGTTCACTGGTGGTTCTGTTATGGAAGTTTTGGACAACCATGTTCAGGAAATGCCGATTGCATAATGAACTCTATGGGCAAAAAAAGATGCGAGTGCAGGGACACCCACTTTGGCGATGGTTTCTATTGTGGATGTAAGAATATTTGTTTTTTCAATTGGGATTAAAAAATCAAATTTATCCACCAATTTGTTTTAGTTTGTAAGGTGTTAATGATTCAAAATTGTATCAATCTGAGTTACTGATAGTAAATGCAGTGAATCTTGCATAGTAAATTTGTTTAAGACAGATATTTCTCAATCTTTATACTTCGTCTACTCCTTGGAAAATTCAATCCCTCAACTGTGTATACTGTTTATACCTTGAGTGCTGTAAATAATAATATTAATAATATAATATGATATAAATATGCTAGAGAGCCACCCACAAAGAAATCATACAGTGCACAACTGAGAACGTCATAATGCCAATAACCTTGACATCATTTATGTAGTCATCGACTACATTTGGTCATGTACTTTTTTCTTTGCAAAATTTCTCCCTAAAGCAGGTCAAATATACCATCAACAAGTAAATTACCTTTGGTTGAGAACCCTTGGTTTAAAACTTCTAACCAAATACATATGAACACATTCATCATCTTTCTTTCTTTAACATTCAATTTTTATTTCAAGCTGGTAAACCAAAGGACAGGTGCCATGAAAAATATGGTAGAACGTGTGGTGAGCGTGCTACCTGTACTGAAGTAGATGGCGATCATAAATGCATATGTAACCCTGATTTCCAGGGAGATGGATTTTATTGTGAAAGTAAGTATATTAATTTTTTTTCAAATTGAGAATATTGAGGCCATTATGAACTGATCTCAATTGCGAATAAGCTAAAAAAAATCTTAAATACTTTGAACAATTTTGAAGAATTTCTTGAAAGGATGTATTAAATTTTATTTCACATTTTAGCTGGGGAATTGTCTGATAAATGCCATGAACGGTTTGGTCGAAGATGTGCAAGAAACTCCAGATGTGTAAATACAGAAAATGGACATGAATGTCAATGTAATAGAGGATATGCTGGAAATGGAATCGTGTGCAGAAGTAAACTTTTATATTCTCAGTCTTGCAATTGGCGGAAATTTGACAGACAGACCAAATCATTAACAAATGATTATAAACTTTTTGTAGTTGAAGACTAGTACGAGATGTCAGAATTGTTTGAATTGTTACCAGGTATAAACAAGGCTATTCAAAATTTTATAACAGGTGAATGCTTTGAACGTTATGGACAAAGATGTTCACTTAATGCTGATTGTGTTGACATGGGAGATGATGGCTGGCAGTGTAGATGCAGAGGTGGTTATTTTGGCAATGGTCTGTACTGTGGAGGTTAGTCAGCAACATATATTTCGCTTCATAATTTGTATTTTTAGGTACCGGTATATTTAATTATTTTTTCAGCTAAAACATTTGCTGTCTAGAATTGATGCAGGAAGAGTGTTTTTAGTAATTTTTTTTACATACTTTTTTCTATTTGATTGTTTTATCTTTTAGCTGGTGAATTTAAATCACAATGTCATCAAGCATATGGAAGAGTTTGTGGAAACGATGCCACTTGTAAGCAGGGCACTGATGGAACATACCAATGTGTATGCAATGATGGATACTGGGGCAATGGTTTTTACTGTTCAAGTATGTGTTTATTGTATACTATGTGCTTTTACTTCTTCAATTGAATTTAATCCAACATCAAGCTATTTTCATGTATATTCAGTTGATATTATATAGCATAAGATACCAACCATCTGATGTGTAACAAAGAAGGAACCTGAATGATTATTAAGCACCATCCGAGGACTGTATATTGGGATGCCAACGCCATGGGCATTAAGCCTTTTGGTTTGTTGATATACCATCTATGTTTGGTTAACATTTGATTATTTTCCTTTTTTGATTGTCTTCAATTAAACTCGAACCTACTATGCTCTGTTTCCAGCTTGTTAATACCTGATCTTTGTATAAGTAAAGAATAATTTAATACATAAGTATATTATTTTGACTCCCTTATGTCCAGGTCAGACAAGAGAGTTTAATAAAATATTAATTGAAGTAGTGAGTGCACATATAATAGACAATGTTATTAATAGTAATCTTCTGCAATAAAAACAGATTTAACTCAAAAAGTCTTACTGTACATTTTTCCCGAAAAAAGTACTTAATAATTATTTTGTTTTAGTTATCAAATCTTATATATTTAGTATTTCAGAATCAATTTTTAGAAAATATTGTATGTATTGATTCCTTCAGATAAACAAAAAATATTAATAAATATAAAGAATTCCTATAAACACACATCTCAATTTTCTGTTACATAGGTGGAACATGGAGTAGCGATTGTCATCGTGTAGCTGGTCGATCATGTAGTGTTCAGGCTTCATGCGAAAGAATCTATGGTCAATATATATGTCGATGCAAAAGAGGTTATTCTGGAGATGGCTTTGACTGTAGAGGTAATGATATTGCTTAGAGTAGCATCACTTATAGGTGAATAAATACACTTTCTGAGAGAAATGAAATTATTTCTCATACTATACTATTTATGTTTGAATTTTTTTTGTGTAATGAATAGTAAACTCTTGTCAAATTTATCTTGGGTAAAAGAAAATCTAAATCATGTGTTGAACCTTGACAATATCTTAATACTGGTTGAGGACTAGAATAGTATATATAACAAAGTTAAAATTTGCACATGCATCGACGTGGTTTGTGGACTAAGACAACTGGTCAATGAAATGTGAACCGACTGAAGTCAAAATAAATCTTGTTTTCATATCCATGTATTTACCTTTCATAAGAAATGAATGTATTTCAAGTAAATCAACACATGCTATGAGCAACTTCTTTTTAAATACAAAAGGCAACCATTATTTGACTGAATACTTGTATCGAAATTTCAACTAAAAATATTTCTTTAGATGATAAAGTTGATCCATGCTATATGCAAGAGCGAGGTTGTCATGAAAATGCACAGTGTGTAGAAGGATATTACAGATACTCTTATGGATGTAAATGCAATGATGGTTATTACGGAGATGGATATTATTGCTTAGGTATAGGCATGGATTGAATAAACATTTATATGGTTTTAAATTTACAGTTTTCTCATGTTATTATCATACTTTTTGTGCATAAATTATAAATTTAATATCTCACACTTGAAACTATTCGTTGTGAAAATTTAAACAAAGTTTTGGAAAGACGTTATTGCAGGAATTATTCTATCCTATCATAATTATATGCTGTATATGAAAATTTCTTGGTTAATTTTAAGTCCACTTTTTATATGAGTATATACCGGTAGGATAATTTTTTTTGAACTCCACAGCGCTAACTAAAATCACACAACAATAACATGCAGGGTGGAAACTCAGCAAGGATTTCATATCTTGAAATGAGGTTATTCATGTGACATGAAAGTATTCCATGATCAACTGTCTGTAAATGTAAACTAATAAATTTGACAAGTATGCACTTTGCTGCAGAGTTTAATAAAAGTTTATCACACATTCAAAATTTAATATTCTAAAAAGTTCTACTCCAATTTCATTTTTTAAACAGAGGGTTCACCTGAAAATGAATGTGCAAGCTGGTATGGAAGACAATGTGATGCCAATGCTTCATGTAAACCGGGCATTGATTACCCTACATGTGAATGTAATGATGGCTTTGAAGGCGATGGGTTTTACTGCCGAACTGGTACACATTATTACACATTTTAATGTTTTTATAGGTTAACCATGCATTGTACATTGTAGCATAATGTATGAAATAAAATTACTTAGAACTCATAGTAAAGCGTTCTTTTTAATTAAAGATATAGTTCCCCACTCATTTGACTATATTTTTGATATATTTTTTCAAGACAAGCCCAGAGGTCCATGCGAAGAGCGATTCGGAAGTCCTTGTCACCCGAAGGCAAAATGTGTTGACATGGGGGCTAGAGGTTGGGAATGCAAATGCGATGATGACTACACAGGCAGTGGAATCGACTGTCAAGGTGTATAAATTGATTGTAATTTTTTGTAACAATGAATTTAGTCAATTATTTGTTGGGTTGCAATATCTTTTTTGCTGATTTTAGGTATTGTCAATAACTTACATTTTCAATATAATTAGCTTAAGACAACCTCATATCAGTTCATAGGACTTCACTAAATGGTAAAACTTATTAATAATATTGTTGCAATATACTACTTTGATGAGAAGTAAATTGGTTAAAAAACAGACTGTTGTTTTTAACATGATGATTTTCACAGCAAAATATGCTGAAGGAACTTGTGGCTATGTTCGCATGTCCACTACTGTTATGCCCGGAGCATATGTTCCACAATGCGATGGTGATGGAAATTACGAATTACAACAATGCCATGATTCAACTGGATTTTGCTGGTGTGTAGAAAAAATGACAGGAAGAGAACTGGATGGAACAAGAGGCGGACCAGGGGAATTTACTGTCGACTGTTACAGTACCACTAAACCTGGTAAGTAAATATTTTTTACTGATAATAATTTAACTATATTGCCTAATTCACCAAAATTTGACGACATTTGAAATACACCTTATTGAAAGCCAACAATAATTACTTATACAAAGTTATTTCGATGCAGGGTATTTGAAATTTGGATATATTGAGACAATTTTGACAATTTTTGATTTTAAATAAATTTTTTGCTTTATAAATGCTTGAGGTTACCAACATTTAGCATGCAGGATTCTAATTGTTTTTATTTGATTTTTATTAGCTCGAGAAACTTGTCAACAACAAAACGAAAGAATGATAGGATTGATGGATGCAATGATCTTTGATTGCAATGTTGATGGAACTTACAAACGCAAGCAATGTTATGGATTCCTGAATCATTGTTATTGTGTTGATCCATTAACTGGAGAAGAAATGGATGGAACAAGAATGCCTGCTGGAGATTTTAATCTTGACTGCACTAAAAAAGGTTTTGCACTATATTTTATTTCCATGACTTGTTATCCAAAATAAAAATTATCAGGCCTCTGTGGTTGGTCTGATATCGTATTACAATTGACTGTACCATAATTAATAACTAATCAGAAAATAATGGACAAACAAATTGAGTGAATAAGGAGAGAAATATTTTTGATTCAAAAAGATGATGCAGACAAAATTTATCGTTTTGGGTAATTCTGTGACATTTATCTTATTAATTATGTTAATCATATATTTTCGATTGTAGACGTTTTTATTTAATTTGCTAATTTTTCTTTCTAGCATCAAGATATATGACATCTGTTAAAGTATATGTTTGATTTTTAGTTCCAAGAGAGTTTGAGGAAGGTACATGTGGATATATACGAATGAATAAACTAAAAGAAAATATGAAAGATGGGGGAATGATGATTGGAGCATATATTCCACGATGTGATATGTATGGACATTATGAATTTACACAATGCCATGGTTCGACTGGATTCTGTTGGTGTGTAGAAAGAATGTCTGGAAAAGAAATTGATGGAACAAGAGCAGGCCCTGGAAGCTTCTCAGTAGATTGTGCCTCACTTACGCCTCCAAGTATGTATGCTTATATCAGTCTAATTATGTGAACAAAATTAACTCTAAATGGGAATACAAGCTTCTATGATGATGTAAATACAAATGCAGATGCGGTACAAGCATTTGTTTGACAACAGCTAAATCTGAAAATATTTAGGTATGTTATTATTCTAAGGCAATATTGTTTCGTCCTCTTATAATACATAGCTGATGTGCAAACAAATTTTTCATAGTTTTCGAAAATAAAGTATGGTAACAGTAACAAGCTATCAATATATATATACAAAATACACAGCAAAGTATCAGTCTGTTTTCCTTATGTAAACATAAATCAAAAAAATAATATTTTATATTTAGCTCCATGTGATCCAAACCCTTGTATGTGAACAAGCCCAAGATGCTGGTGGTGTTTATATGTGCATATGTATGGTAACAGTAACAAGCTATCAATATATATATATACAAAATACACAAGAAAGTATCAGTCTGTTTTCCTAATGTGAACATAAATCAAAAAACAATTATTTATATTTAGCTCCATGTGATCCAAACCCTTGTATGAATGGTGGAAGATGTGAACAAGCCCAAGATGCTGGTGGTGTTTATATGTGCATATGTAAGGATGGATACACAGGACAGCATTGTAGAATTGGTATGAGTCTGTTAAAAGTTTTTGGTGTTAGCATTATTTCTGAATGTTGATGATAAAAGAAGTTCGAATTGCACAGTGATTACATCAACCACCCTGTTGCACAAGTCTAACAATCGTCTTGCACATTATCATCCCTGTAAGGTGCGAAATCACTAAATCATATCGAGAATCATCATTGTGATGACAAGAATTCTTTTACTGCTTATCACAATGCAACTTTCATGAGGCTATAGAGAATTGGTAAATTTCAGTAGTTAGAACAGCTTATATGCTTCATAGATGTCAAAACTGTTCAGTGTAGGTATCTTTCTTTGCAGTAGAAATTCAAACCCTTGTATGAATGGCAGAAGATGTGAGCAAGCACAAGATACATATGATGTATAAATGTGTTCGGTTACCATTCCATGTTGAGTTTGGTATTAGTTACCATAGTTATTTTTTTTCGGGAGCATGGACATGATGGTGGAGAAAGCCGTAAGCAACCAGCGCTTACGTAAACCACCCTACGGCGGCGAGGAGTCCAGCAATCCTCTTGCACATAGCCATCTCCGCATGGGATTCAAACATTCGAACCCATGCAGAGTAATCAGAGGTGCGGTTGCGAACGTATTTCTAACGCTTAGCACGATGAGCCACATCGCCGCGTATGTAATTTCATGACCACTGTATGTATAACAGAGAAAAGCCCAAGCATCTCAGAGTACTCTTTAAACAGTTCATATGTTTCATAGATCACCAATATCATTAATTGTACATATTTTATTTCTTAGAAATTAATAGAATTTACATTTGAATTTTCACTGTTCAGCTCCAAAAGATCCATGTATGCCAAATCCTTGTATGAATGGTGGAAGATGCGAACAAGCACAAGATGCAGGTGGTGTTTACATGTGTGTATGCAAAGATGGATACACAGGACAGCATTGTAGAGATGGTATGATACCTGTTAAAAGTTTTTTATGATAGTATCAAAGAATCTTTTTAGGTCTAATATGTTCTAACATAGTATACAAGACTCTTCGATGTGAATGGGGAATGATGCGATAATTGTGCAATGATTATATTAACCACCCGGTCACAGAAATGAGATCAACATTCGGCTTGCACTTGGTTGTCCGCATAAGGTTTGAAACTATGATTCGATATGAGGGAATCATCATTGTGATGACAAACATGTTCTTAATTCCTATCACAATGCATCAAACATCAAGCTATGGATAGTTGGCAGATTCCAGTAATTTGAACAGTATACATGTCTCATAGATTACTAAGACTGTTAATTGCACATATCTCTTTTCATAGTAAAATACCTAATAGAATTAACATTCAAATTTTTATTGTTCAGCTCCCAAAAATCCATGTATGCCAAACCCTTGTATGAATGGTGGAAGATGCGAACAAGCCCAAGATGTCGCTGGTGTTTACATGTGTGTATGCAAAGATGGATACACAGGACAGCATTGTAGAGATGGTATGACACCTGTTAAAAGTTTTTTATGATAGTATCAATGAATCTTTTTAGGTCTAATATGTTCTAACATAGTATACAAGACTCTTGGATGTGAATGGGGAATGATGCGATAATTGTGCAGTGATTATATTAACCACCCCGTCACAGAAATGAGTTCAACATTCGTCTTGATTCGATATGAGGGAATCATCATTGTGATGACAAACATGTTCTTAATTCCTATCACAAAGCATCAAACATCAAGCTATGGATAGTTGCTAGATTTCAGTAATTTGAACAGTATACATGTCTCATTTGCACATATCTCTTTTCATAGTAAAATACCTAATAGAATTTACATTTAAATTTTTATTGTTCAGCTCCCAAAAATCCATGTATGCCAAACCCTTGTATGAATGGTGGAAGATGCGAACAAGCCCAAGATGTCGCCGGTGTTTACATGTGCGTATGCAAAGATGGATACACAGGAAAACATTGTAGAACTGGTATGTAATATTTTACGAGCTTTATTGCAAGTGTAATTTATGCTTACTTTCCTGTTAGAATTATTATTTTCAAACTCTCTTAAAACACCTTAATATGATTTCTTTAGGTTGGCTATACAGTTTACTGCACGTTTCTTTTTTCACAATGGTAAAATTCTTCATGAATCTTGGAATCAATTTACATTTAAAATTTTATTTTTCAGCTCCCAAAAACCCATGTATGACAAATCCTTGTATGAATGGAGGAAGGTGTGAGATAGATATGTACGGTGGATATAGGTGCTTATGTGAGGATGGATATACAGGAAGACATTGTAGTTTTGGTATGTAGTATTTTACAAGCTTTATTGTAGGTATAATATATGTTTACTTTCATATTACAATTATTATTTCCAAATTTCCTCAAAACACCATTTTTGTAGAACAGTTGCTAATGATTGAACTTATATTATTAAGTTTGTTGCTAAAATGAAGGCCCACCTATCACATCAGCTGGGATTGCTGGACATATCCAGTCGATTGATTTCAGTTTCATTCTAGTGTTTTGATAAGCTTGGATTACACTGTTGTGAATAACTTTGTATTCTTTGGTTAGTAATATTCACAAAGCTCCTCATAATAAACTATATTTATCAATTTTAAAGTTTTCGCTAATTTAGATTTAAAGAATGTGTTACCTTGCTTTGAAAAATAAGTTGTGCTTCAGACAAAGTTGAGTTTGTAACTCAAAAATATGACTGAATTCTGGGAGTACATGAGTGATGTATAAATTATCCAAAATGAACCTATGAATAGAAAGTTCGGAAAACCCTGGTTTAATCGATTTATAGATTACAAATACAATTAATTTTACTTTTCTGTTTTATAATAAAAAAAATGCTTAATATTATTCAATGATTTTACATTCAACATTCCATTCTCCAGCCCCCAAAGACCCATGCAAACCAAACCCTTGTATGAATGGTGGAAGGTGTGAACAAGCCCAAGATGCTGGTGGTGTTTATATGTGCATATGTAAGGATGGATACACAGGAGAGCATTGTAGAATTGGTATGAGTCTGTTAAAAGTTTTTGGTGTTAGCATTATTTCTGAATGTTGATGATAAAAGAAGTTCGAATTGCATGGTGATTACATCAACCACCCCGTTGCACAAGTCCAACAATCGTCTTGCACATTATCATCCCTGTAAGGTGCGAAATCACTAAATCATATCGAGAATCATCATTGTGATGACAAGAATTCTTTTACTGCTTATCACAATGCAACTTTCATCAGGCTATAGAGAATTGGTAAATTTCAGTAGTTAGAACAGCTTATATGCTTCATAGATGTCAAAACTGTTCAGTATAGGTATCTTTCTTTGCAGTAGAAACTCAAACCCTTGTATGAATGGCAGAAGATGTGAGCAAGCACAAGATACATATGATGTATATATGTGTTCGGTTACCATTCCATGTTGGGTTTGGTATTAGTTACCATGGTTATATTTTTTCGGGAGCATGGACTTGATGGTGGAGAAAGCCGTAAGCAACCAGCGCTTACGTAAACCACCCTACGGCGGCGAGAAGTCCAGCAATCCTCTTGCACACAGTGATCTCCGCATGGAATTCAAACTTGCGAACCCACGCAGAGTTATCAGAGGTGCGGTTGCATCGTATTTCTAAGGCTTAGCACGATGAGCCACACCGCAGCGCATGTAATTTCATGACCACTGTATAACAGAGAAAAGCCCAAGCATCTCAGAGTATTCTTTCAACAAGTCATATGTTTCATAGATCACCAATATCATTGATTGTACATATTTTATTTCTTAGAAATTAATAGAATTTACATTTGAATTTCCACTGTTCAGCTCCCAAAGATCCATGTATGCCAAATCCTTGTATGAATGGTGGAAGATGCGAAGAAGCACAAGATGCAGGTGGTGTTTACATGTGTGTATGCAAAGATGGATACACAGGACAGCATTGTAGAGATGGTATGACACCTGTTGAAAGTTTTTGATGATAGTGTTAATGAATCTTTATAGGTCTAATATGTTCTAACATAGTATACAAGACTCTTGGACTCTTGGATGTGAATGGGGATTGATGCGATAATTGTGCAGTGATTATATTAACCACCCGGTCACAGAAATGAGTTCAACATTCGGCTTGCACTTGATTGTCCGCATAAGGTTTGAAACTATGAATTGATATCAGGGAATCATTATTGTGATGACAAACATGTTATTAATTCTTATCACAATGCATCAAACATCAAGCTATGGATAGTTGATAGATTTCAGTAATTTGAACAGTATACATGTCTCATAGATTACTAATACTGTTAATTGTACATATTTCTTTTCATAGTAAAATACCTAATAGAATTTACATTCAAATTTTTATTGTTCAGCTCCCAAAAATCCATGTATGCCAAACCCTTGTATGAATGGTGGAAGATGCGAACAAGCCCAAGATGTTGCTGGTGTTTACATGTGTGTATGCAAAGATGGATACACAGGAAAACATTGTAGAACTGGTATGTAATATTTTACAAGCTTTATTGCAAGTGTAATTTATGCTTACTTTCATATTAGAATTATTATTTTCAAACTCCCTTAAAACACCTTAATATGATTTTTGTAGAACAGTTGCTAATGATTGAACTTATATTATTAAGTTTGTTGCTAAAATGCAGGCCCACCTATCAAATCAGCTGGGATTGCTGGACTTGTTCATTCAATATATTTTCAGTTTCATTCTAGTGTTTTGATAAGCTTGGATTACACTGTTGTGAATAACTCTGTACTCTTTGGTTAGTAATATTCACAAAGCTCCTCATATTAAACTATATTTATCAATTTTAAAGTTTTCGCGTATTTAGATTAAAGGAATATGTTACCTTGCTTTGGAAAATAAGTTGTGCTTCAGACAAAGTTGAGTTAGTAACTCAAAAATATGCTTGAATTTTGGGAGTACATGAGTGATGTATAAATTATCCAAAATGAACCTATGAATAGAAAGTTTGGAAAACCCAGGTTTAATCGATTTATAGATCACAAATACAATTTATTTTACTTTTCTTTTTTATAATAAAAAAAGCTTAATAATATTCAATGATTTTACATTCAACATTCCATTCTCCAGCCCCCAAAGACCCATGCAAACCAAACCCTTGTATGAATGGTGGAAGATGTGAACAAGCCCAAGATGCTGGTGGTGTTTATATGTGCATATGTAAGGATGGATACACAGGAGAGCATTGTAGAATTGGTATGAGTCTGTTAAAAGTTTTTGGTGTTAGCATTATTTCTGAATGTTGATGATAAAAGAAGTTCGAATTGCATGGTGATTACATCAACCACCCCGTTGCACAAGTCCAACAATCGTCTTGCACATTATCATCCCTGTAAGGTGCGAAATCACTAAATCATATCGAGAATCATCATTGTGATGACAAGAATTCTTTTACTGCTTATCACAATGCAACTTTCATCAGGCTATAGAGAATTGGTAAATTTCAGTAGTTAGAACAGCTTATATGCTTCATAGATGTCAAAACTGTTCAGTATAGGTATCTTTCTTTGCAGTAGAAACTCAAACCCTTGTATGAATGGCAGAAGATGTGAGCAAGCACAAGATACATATGATGTATATATGTGTTCGGTTACCATTCCATGTTGGGTTTGGTATTAGTTACCATAGTTATATGGAGCATGGACTTGATGGTGGAGAAAGCCGTAAGCAACCAGCGCTTACGTAAACCACCCTACGGCGGCGAGGAGTCCAGCAATCCTCTTGCACACAGTGATCTCCGCATGGGATTCAAACCTGCGAACCCACGCAGAGTTATCAGAGGTGCGGTTGCATCGTATTTCTAAGGCTTAGCACGATGAGCCACACCGCAGCGCATGTAATTTCATGACCACTGTATAACAGAGAAAAGCCCAAGCATCTCAGAGTATTCTTTCAACAAGTCATATGTTTCATAGATCACCAATATCATTGATTGTACATATTTTATTTCTTAGAAATTAATAGAATTTACATTTGAATTTCCACTGTTCAGCTCCAAAAGATCCATGTATGCCAAATCCTTGTATGAATGGTGGAAGATGCGAAGAAGCACAAGATGCAGGTGGTGTTTACATGTGTGTATGCAAAGATGGATACACAGGACAGAATTGTAGAGATGGTATGACACCTGTTGAAAGTTTTTGATGATAGTGTTAATGAATCTTTATAGGTCTAATATGTTCTAACATAGTATACAAGACTCTTGGATGTGAATGGGGATTGATGCGATAATTGTGCAGTGATTATATTAACCACCCGGTCACAGAAATGAGTTCAACATTCGGCTTGCACTTGATTGTCCGCATAAGGTTTGAAACTATGAATTGATATGAGGGAATCATTATTGTGATGACAAACATGTTATTAATTCTTATCACAATGCATCAAACATCAAGCTATGGATAGTTGATAGATTTCAGTGATTTGAACAGTATACATGTCTCATAGATTACTAATACTGTTAATTGTACATATTTCTTTTCATAGTAAAATACCTAATAGAATTTACATTCAAATTTTTATTGTTCAGCTCCCAAAAATCCATGTATGCCAAACCCTTGTATGAATAGTGGAAGATGCGAACAAGCCCAAGATGTCGCCGGTGTTTACATGTGCGTATGCAAAGATGGATACACAGGAAAACATTGTAGAACTGGTATGTAATATTTTACGAGCTTTATTGCAAGTGTAATTTATGCTTACTTTCCTAATAGAATTATTATTTTTAAACTTCCTTAAAACACCTTAACATGATTTTTGTAGGTTGGCTATACAGTTTACTGCACGTTGATAATAAATGAAGCACAACCGGTGTTAGCAAAACGATGTAATTTGATGATGTTTTGAATTTCTATACAGAAAAACTTCATCAGGGCATGATATGGAAAGGACACAAGTGGATATATATAGAGCCAGAAAAAAAAATGGAAAAATATGAAAAAATTATCATGGCGTCAACTCTAATCCAAAAGGATGATAATAAGATAATATGTATAAATAAACAAATTAGCGCAAGTTCAAACAAAAAGGGGACTATTTAAACAATGATTTATACACAGGTGGGAAAAGTGTGGTTTCCTTGTCATTCATCGAAAGAAACCACACTTTTCCCGCATGTGTATAAATTAGGGATGGGACGAGTCCGGCATTACAGAGATTCGACGAATCCGAGTAATAGGTCAAGGACTCGAATCGAATCTGCCGAGTCCGTGACGTCATAATAGAAAAGCAGAAAAACACGTTTTTGACCATGCTACAGCATCGTGCGCTCACAAATATACGTCGTAGCTCATATTTTTTGCCTGATGGTTCCGCAGATAGCTGTTGAATCATTTTAATAATATCTTTTTCTCTTTTTGGCGGCCATGATACAAACGTAAACGTGGGCCAATGTGCGCCTTGGCTGTGAACTGGATTTCCAGCCCACCACCTTGCGTCAATTCTGGTCGGCTATTCAGATATTCTTACATGTTAATATGAAAAATAAAAAATCTTTTGACTACAATGCTTTCCCATAATTCCAGATATTTCTAGCCGTGAATTTACTATGTCACGTGCGCATATGGTAGAGAAATGCCACTCGTCGTCAATACATTGTGGTACATCCGCTTGCAATTTAATAGTTCATCTAAACGTTCTAAAACTCTCCATGCTTTCCATTGCCTTTTTAGCGAAAGGATTGCACGTAGTAAACCCGATTTAAAAGAGGTATTGATGAGATTCCCCATTGGGTTGATTCAGGGCATGTTTCATTTTTACGCGAATCTAAAACTCAAAAATATTGCGCTAACACATATTTTATTGTGTACCACATGTATACCGAAAAGAATAGATAGTTTGAAGGCGACTGGCGCAACATCATTGTTATAAGCGATCAATAGTTTTTAACTTGCGTTATATTATCTGGATATCTGTCGTCGTTTTATTAGGAGTGTTTATAATGCACACGAGGGATATTGTTACAGAGCTAACTTTGAATTTTACTAGTTAAGGTATGTAGTGGGATTTAAAGAGGTAAAAGTACACAAAAAGGCGTAAATTAGTAAAAACAGAATTGATTATGGACTCGGTAAAAACGACGTGGACTCGAAATCGAATCCGAGTCCAAAAAATGCCTGGATTCGACTCGAATCCGAGTCCGGATCCGAATCCCGGCCCATCCCTAGTATAAATCATTGTTTAAATAGTCCCCTTTTTGTTTGAACTTGCGCTAATTTGGTTATTTATACATATTATCTTATCATCATCCTTTTAGATTAGAGTTGACGCCATGATAATTTTTTCATATTTTTCCTTTTTTTTTCTTGCTCTATATATATCCATTTGTGTCCTTTCCATATCATGCCCTGATGAAGTTTTTCTGTATAGAAATTCGAAACGTCGGCAAATTACATCGTTTTGCTAACACCGGTTGTGCTTCTTTTATTATCAACATGAGTTTACCTGGTGGCAATCATGCACTAGTTTACTGCACGTTTATTTTTTCACAGTAGTAAAATTCTTCATGAAACTTGAATGAATTTACATTTAAAATTTTATTTTTCAGCTCCCAAAAATCCATGTATGCCAAACCCTTGTATGAATGGTGGAAGATGCGAACAAGCCCAAGATGTTGCTGGTGTTTACATGTGCGTATGCAAAGATGGATACAGAGGAAAACATTGTAGAGTTGGTATGTATTGTGCGGCAATTACATGAACCACCTTGTAACAGAAAAGTTCAACAATCTGCTTGTACATGATCACACCCCTGAGCTTCTAAAACATAAAAAGAGAACAAGCATTTTAGTGATAAGTGTGTCTTTAACAACAATTATGATGTATCAACCATCAAGCTATGAGCAATTGGTGAATTTCTGTAGTTTGAACGTTTATATGTTTTTTGGTTCATTGATACATTTAATGAAATGGAATTGATTTATATAAATCATTGAATTTACATCAAAATTTTTATTGATCAGCTCTCATGGATCCATGTTTTGATCTATGTACCGGTAACTAATTATTGCTTTTGTAAGATTTACTTCTTTCCACCAGATACTGCAGCATGTTCTTATATTTTTTTGGTATTATACTTTCAAACATTTGGGTATTTGCTCAAATGAGAATTAAATGGTATTAATCATATGTAATCAATTTGCAAAATTAGATTCCATAGTTTATTGAGATATGTATTAATTTCATCTATGGCGTAAGATATTAGACAGGCTTTTCTGACCTCCTCTCTAAAGCATACCATTTCAATCTATGAATTCTGTTAAATTTTTTTACAATTAGAGTTTAATGAAAAGAGTGAGTTTGTACATCGAGTTTATACATGTTACAGTATTTTGATACTAATTTTACTATTTTTTTTTCAGGTAAAGAAACATGTCAACAACAAAATGAAAAAATGTTCGGTTTGATGGATGCAATGATTTATGCTTGCAATGACGATGGAACTTACAAACATAAACAATGTTATGGATTTCTTAATCATTGCTATTGTGTTGATCCAACTACTGGAAAAGAAATAGATGGAACTAGAATGCTGTCTATAAACTTCAATCTGGACTGCACTAAAAAAGGTTTTTAGATTTATTTGTTGAACACATCAGATAAATTGCAATGCTAACATTATTTTATGTAATATTAATATTTTTGATGGTGGTAATTTATGTTGATTCAATAGTACAAACAGAGCTTTTTTAATATAACAACGTTTTTTTTAATTGTCAGATCCAAGAGAATTTCCAGAAGGTACTTGTGGATACAAGCGAAAGAATATGCGAAAAGAAAATATGAAGGATGGAGTAATGATTGTTGGAGCATACATTCCAACTTGTGATTTAAATGGACACTATGAATCGACACAATGTCATGGTTCGACTGGATTCTGTTGGTGTGTAGAAAGAATGTCTGGAAAAGAAATTGATGGAACAAGAGCAGGCCCTGGAAGATTCTCAGTTGACTGTTCATCTCTTCAACCATGTAAATAATTTCCTGTTAATGGATTGAGTTTTCATTTTTGCTGTACGGGAATATTTTTCTCTCACAAAGTCAAACATAATTATTTAAGATTCTTTGGATGCACTTAATTGTTCAGCTAACAAGAAATCTTTTATTCAAAAGCATTTTTAAAACTTTACATCTTGTCGTATTTTCAATATTTAGATTTTCATTCCAATTTGTGAAATCGAATTTCACACTGTTCTACAAATGATCAACTTTTGTTGTCTTGTTCAGAAAATTCTAGCATTTTATGTAAAATACTTACGGGTACTTTATTCAATATATGATTCTATATATTTGAATTGTTTCATAGAATTGTTGCAATCCCATTAATTAATATCTGTAAATGATGTGATAAGGATGTACTTTGAACATGAATAAATATTCTCTCTTTATTTACATTGACTATAAAAAAAATAAAAAGTACACGTACACAAATAATTTATAATCACATGGAAGGTTAGTACAATATACCAATTACAAGAAATTTATCAACGTACCGATTACAGTGAATTTTTAACAATATTTAAACTAATACTTGTATATATCTGTGCTTGCAGAACTCATAAAAACAAGAATGATGATAATAATTAAAATGACCTTATATGCAGAATTATCAAAATACAATTTATTTCAAGTATTTTGATTTTAGTTTTTTTCTTTAATTATAATACTCAACAATTAAATAGTAATTTCTCTATGTTCAGCTCCTAAAGACCCATGCAAACCAAACCCTTGTAGGAATGGTGGAAGATGTGAACAAGCCCAAGATGATGGTGGTGTTTATATGTGCATATGTAAGGATGGATACACAGGAGAGCATTGTAGAATTGGTATGAGTCTGTTAAACTTAGTGTTTTTAATATTCCATAAAGTCGCTTTTTCAAATTTCTAGCAAAGAATGAAATTCAAGTATATATTTATTGTCCCGTCTTGTTTACACAGCTCCACGACTTAATCCATGCAATTGTTAGATTATTTGTTGGGTGCATTTTTTATCGTCATACAAATCAAGATTTTGGCAGATTACAAGACAATGTTTTTTATACTAGTTATGAGCAAGAGTTTATCTTTTTTATTGTGAAGCTTTTATTTGAACCAGTGGTAGATTGAGTGTATAATGAGGTCATGTATTTAAAAAGATTCAACATAAACAATCATAGAGAAATTTCTCAGGTTAAAAGAAATTGATCACACTTGGTCAGTTTTGTAATAATTAAAAAATAATTGAGAAATATACACAATGTGTACACCATGTCATATTATTCATGTGGTAGCCATCTGCGTGATATTTATAGGAATTTGGTACCAAGAAACACATTTTAATTGATCAAAAAACAATTAAACTTATTGCAATGTGTTACTAATGTTAAATCATCTTAAAAACTTTTCAGAAAAAGAAACTGATCCATGTGTTGTGAATCCTTGTATGAATGGAGGAATTTGCACTGGATTACCAACTGGTAAACGATTATGTTACTGCAAAGAAGGATATTCAGGAGACGCCTGTGAAATTGGTAAATTCATGAATACATTAATTCAATTTTTCTGAAAAACATCTAAAGTTATAGAAACACATGTTATAACGTCGCAATGCACGTGGACTATCTGAAAGTTGAGTATTTCCATTAATTGATCCACGTAACACAAACATACTATCAAACTGTATCACGTTTCTGTCTATTTAGTATTTTTCACATCATAAAATTGATGGAATGAGTCAAAAATATATAAAGTATGACACATATATAAAATATAAGTCTAATTTTTCTGATGTTTAAAACAAAGTATAAATGTTCTCCCAATTAAACAAACCAAAGTTGGTTCTTGACCATTTTCATTAAAATCCCAGTTTTCAATAAGTTAGATGCAATATAACTATGATGAAGCTGAGTGGTCTATTCACATTTCACAGTTTTTTAGTTGAGAGCGTGTATTAATGGGTGTTTTATTGTGAAAGTTAATAATATATTTTTTAATGAATTCAGTAATCATGTTTTAATAACACATTGTTATGTACTTTCTGAATCATTAGATGCTTGTACCCCAAATCGTTGTAGAAATGATGGCACTTGCATTCGAGTAAGAAGTGTACGAGGTTATTCTTGTAGATGTAAGGCTGGATACTCTGGGGCTAATTGTCGAAGAGGTTGGTTTAAAATTTTGATGTTTGATATAAAATTTCGTAAGTAGGAACGCATTTTACCTGTAAATGATCTAATTCGTTCCAAGCCCACACAAAACTAAGGCATAATATTGGTGGTATAAATTATAATAATGGTTAAAACCTGTAACAAATATATGTTAGAATTAAATTACTCTATAATAAATAGAAAATATACGCATAAATTATCATTGTAATATTCAAATTAGCGAAGCTAATTCCCAAATTTCCATCCATTAAATCTGTCATGTCGGCTGTTATAATTTTATTTTTGCTCATAAATTAATACCGCCAACTTAAACTGAACGATATTTTTAACGACGATGTCGGGATAACGATAAAATCTGTGATTGATACTAAATAATATTTAAAAGCTCTTTCATACCCTCTAAATTGCAAGAAACGTCCTTATACTTAGACGTCTTATAAGCACTTCAATTTGGTGCTTATTAAAATCTTTTTTTTATGCAGACTATAATTTATTGCCGCCTCACACACGGCTGCTTTCGATTGCGATAAAAAATGAAATACTTGTGAAATGTTTTTAAATCAAAACGTGGACGGCTAGTCTAGGACATGTGCGCCATATTAGATCTTCTTATAAACATGAAAAATTGACTTTCGAAGGTCGTCATATTCGAATAATAAATTTGAATTGGACATCCCTGCATTAAATTAACCTAAAATAAACAAATATCACTACACACATTTTTTGAGTTTTCGGCCTTTTGTATGTGAAATATCTTACATTAGTTGAAGCAATATTTTTCCAAAAAGAATTTTCGTAAGTTGGATTTTTCGTACCCAGACTTTTATGTAGGTAGAGTTTCTGCTGTATTCATAATACAATTTGACCTTCTCCTGACTTGAATGTTTTTTTGAATTCCCAAATTTTAAAAGGAGATCCATGCACGCTTAACCCATGTATGAATGGAGGAGTATGCACTGCAACTTCAAGGGGAAGACGTTCATGTGCATGTGCAGCAGGATATTCTGGCGATGACTGTGAAGTTGGTGAGTATATTGTGATTGAAAGTACATGCACAATATTTGATAAATTCATGATATGAAATAAGTATTTTCTGATTATTCATTTGAATGTATGCATTCCACCATACAAAAGTTATGATTAGAAGAGTATTTGTGGTCAGAAATTACCTGCCATTTGAGTGGCTTTCGTCTGTACATCGATTGCCAGTTCCATATTGTGTTGGCTAAATTGCAAGCATAATATGATTGCGGTGAATGTTTTTGCTGTACTTAGCTTGAATATATTTGAGTACATAGTCTAGTATAAATTAACTGTGACTCGCCTCCTACCTATATTTTATATTTCCTCACTAGACAAATAAACACACGAAAAACTTGTTGGTAGTTTGGCACTGTCTAAAACATCAACAAATTTATTCACGAGGACTAATGTTAAAATAGGTTTACTGAAACAAAATTCTGAATCGATTTTGTAGGCATGTACTAATTCAAAAGGTTTCTTTGAAATATGAGAAAACTTTTCAGCTACCTGTTATTAAATAAGTGACAGTCTTATTTACGGCAACTGTTTCTTGGGGGGAAAAACAAATTATTTGCAAATCATGAGTTGTACTTGAATAAACTATTTTTATTGAACTCGTAGATGTATTTAACCATATTTGAGTATTTTTTTTTCAGGTATTAGTGGTTTACTACAATGAATACTGTCGGTTATTTTTTTTGCTGTAGTATTAGTAGTATAATAGTATAGAATTGTAGTATTGTTATGCTATGCTATGTATTGTTAAGAAATTATTATGGTGATTTTCAGATGCATGCAATCCAAATAGATGCCAGAATGGAGGACGCTGTAATCATGTAACTGGTGGAAGAGGATATTCATGTACTTGTACCGATGATTATGGGGGTGATTTTTGTCAAGGTAATATTTTTTTAGATATTATTTCTAGTTTCCTTCATGCTTAACATAGATTCAGCCTAATGTTTATCTAATTTTATTGCTTATCAATAAATTAGTATTTTTGTCATGCATTGAATTTCTTTGACAATGTTATTCTAATTATTTTCTGCAATAAAACAGTTTAAAGTTATACAAACCTAATTTTAAACATGAGTTGATGTTAATAATATAAGCTTCTAATACTTTCTATATAGATGTCAAGGAAAAATATCAGGATCCATGTCACAGACAATACAAAATACCTTGCCATGTGAATGCAGGCTGTAAAATGAGTGTTAATTTAATATGGGAATGTGTGTGTGAAAGTGACTATTTTGGAGATGGAATCAAATGCACAAGTAAGTTTTTTTGTTCAAAATCAGGTTAGTTTATCATCTTCTTCTAAAGAATAATCCTATCAACGTATCAAGTATTTCTCAAAATCTGTTGTTTTGTCTGTTTCATGAGCATCCATATTCAGTAGTAATAAGTATATAAAAAAGCACTGGAAATGACTGTTCACAGCTCACTAAAAATTCAAGCAAATGTTTTTCTTGGAATTCTGCATATTAGTTCAATACAACATTTTGCATTTTATTCCAAAGACTTTCATTTTCTGCTCAAAATAATATTTTACTGCTTATATCACAGAAAAACCTGATTGCCCCGGTAAAAGAGTATTCAATTCTTGTGCCTCGACATGTCCTCCAACATGTGCTGATCCAATGCCAATATGCAACAAGATGTGTGCTGAAAACGTCTGTGTCTGTCCAGATGGACATGTTCAAATTAGTAAATCTGACAGAAGGTGTATACCACAAGCAGATTGTCCAGGTAGAATATTGTGAATTTTTCACTAATGCTTTTAGATGCTCTTGCTCAACAGTTTTGAACATTGAGTAGGAAGTCATTATTTGCTTTTAAAAAGATATTTGATATAATAAATTGTACATTTACATGTATCAAGGAAGGTCTTTTTATAATTCTGGACATCTGACTGTGAAAAGTCTTGCGATTAGAAGAATTGAACAACTCGCTGAATTGTTTTCCAATATGGTCCATTTTTTATTAACTAGATCCATGCAAGCCAAATCCATGTCAGAATAATGGACAATGTCAACTCGATTCCACTGCCCAGGGTGGATATAGATGTTTATGTTTCAGACTATGGTCAGGCAAAAACTGTGAAATCGGTTAGTGGTATATATGTTTTCGAAAAATATCATGGAGAAAACAATACTCCTTATCTTTAGAAGATCTTTCAATCCCATGAATTCAATGTCAAATACTCCTCCAATTAACATTTGTTTATCAAGCTTGCAACATTTGTTACTGCCTATATATCCTGAATCTTAATTTTCAGTTCAAAGTAACTTAACTTACAACATATTTTAGGTTATACGATCTCGAGCCATGCCACTCTAATCCTTATCATAATGTAATACCCATGCCGTTACATCTGATTATACAGCTAACAATAATATTCAGTATTGATTAGTAAATAGTTAGTTGATCATCATTAAAATAGGAAATATTAGTTATAGTTAATAATATTTTTGCTGAGTTGTATAACTATGATTGTAAATAGTTGTGGTTATAACATGAATAATTAAAATTCAACAATTTCTCTTATATTGACTATCAATAGTTTTAGATTGAATTGTATCATTATTATAAAATATTATAAACAGATTATATTATATCATTGTAATAATGAATTTTTCAGGATTGGTAATAACAGATCCATGCAAACCTAATCCTTGCCAGAATGGTGGTAGATGTATGCTTGATTCAACCGCTGAAGGTGGATATGGATGTGCATGTGCAAGATTATATGGCGGCAAAAACTGTGAAAATGGTGAGTATTTTGGATTTCGATTCAATCTTCTTAAGCTTTCTCGTGAAATATTGAGATAATGTAACTCCCTTTTCCAGTATTGTCACCGAGAGGACCTTGCAGACCAAATCCATGCCAAAATGGAGGAAATTGTATGCTTGACCAATATGCTCCAGGTGGATACAAATGCACCTGTATGGATATGTATTCTGGCACTAACTGCGAAAATGGTTCGTAACTTTTGTAACTGATAAATTTTTTTGTTTTATTTGTTTAAATAGCTTGTTGTTTTCATGTATAAACTGAATTGGGAATTGTCAAAGGGTTTTGAGTCACTGAAAGTGAAAAGTATTTTTTATTTAAGTAAAAAATTTGACATTTAAAATGAACAATTCATATTTATATAGTTAATGCTAATTGCTATCGTCTCTTCAAATAGGGGGGAAAACATTATTTTTATCAAGAAAAGAATTTTTATATGTCTCAAGATAATATTTCCCAAATGATGAGGTATTAGATATATAGACATCTAATCAAATGATTTATATTTTATTACATATTCCTTTGTTAAATATAGTGGTTCACTGTAAACGAATGAATACCACATTAGAAATCATCATATAGCTAATAGTAGTATTGAGTGTTGATTGGTAAATAGCTATTTTTTATACTTACTATTTGTTTCTTTTTCTTAGGTATGCCAAAACCAGATCCATGCCAAAAGAATCCATGCCAGAGTAGAGGAGTATGCATGAATGATCCAAAGGCAGAAGGCGGATATCTCTGTGCTTGTGCTAAATTATGGTCAGGCAAGAACTGTGAAATTGGTAAGAAATAATTGGTAATAGAAATAAAATTTGGTGATACAAAATAAGTTAGTGATTTTTATTGATGCCATACAGTATTTCATATCACTTTTGAATTTTTAATATATTTTATCATCGTATTCATGGATATTTTAGGAATTACAGTGAAAAATGCATGTCGTCCTAATCCTTGCCAGAATGGTGGAAAGTGTATGCGTGATTCAACTGCTGAAGGTGGATATGGATGTGCATGTACCAGATTGTGGTCAGGCAAAAACTGTGAAATTGGTACGTTTTTTAAATATTGGAAAATTGAGATAAAATTTGGTGATACAATTTTTTTTAAATTTGAGTCGGTCTGCCCAAGACAGATATTAATAAATTTGATACTTGACTAGTTCTTGAAAATTGTGAATGAAACCTCACACGATGATTTAATGAAACAGTCATTGATAACAAAGAATTTAGTATTTATTTGATTGATGTAATGCAGCATTTTTTACCAATTTGTACCTATTAATATATTTCATGCTCATATTCATGATTTTTTAAGGAATTACAGTAACAAGTCCATGCCGTCCTAATCCTTGCCAGAATAGGGGAAGATGTATTCTTGATTCAACTGCTGAAGGAGGATATGGATGTGCTTGTTTCAGATTATGGTCAGGCAAAAACTGTGAAATTGGTATGTTATTTATTTATAGATTAAAAAATTACACATTATGTTACTCAAGATGAAATTAAAGGATATAATTTTTTCAAAAATTAGTCTACATGTCATGTCAGATTTTTTCAAATTTTTTATTAATAATATTTACTGAAATTATACCTTAATTTAGATATTAAATAGTCAATATTTATATAAAATTTAAAATGATTTTAGGAAATGGTAAATATAACCGTCTTCAAACTTATAAATTAGCAAATTATGGTCAAGAGTTTACTAATTTTTAGAGTATTCACCAAATATACAATTTGCAATGCAATAGCAATCTTGGAATATCTAAATTAAAAAAAAAACTGCTGCAGATAACTGCTTCCTGAAAGGCATTAGATATAATCATGTAATTAAAACAATTATACATTTTGTTAAATATTACTTTGTTGGATATAGTGGTTTAATATAAATCAATAAATACCACATTACATATCATCATATAGCTAATGGGAGTATTGATTGTTGATTGGTAAATAGTTATTTGTTGTACTTACTATTTGTTTCTATTTCTCAGGACTGCAGAAACCAGATCCATGCCAAAAGAATCCATGCCAGAATAGAGGAGTATGTATGAATGATCCAAATGCAGAAGGCGGATATCTCTGTGCCTGTGCTAAATTATGGTCAGGCAAAAACTGTGAAATTGGTAAGTATTTTAATTATTGAATGCCATACAGCATTTCACATCAATTTATAATTGTTAATATATTTTATCATCATATTCATGGATTTTTTAGGAATGACAGTAACAACTCCATGCCGTCCTAATCCTTGCCAGAATGGTGGTAGATGTATGCTTGATTCAACTGCTGAAGGTGGATATGGATGTGCATGTACCAGATTGTGGTCAGGCAAAAACTGTGAAATTGGTATGTTTTTCAAATATTGGAAACTTGAGATAAAATTTGATGCTACATTTTTTTTAAATTAGGTTGGTCTGTATAAGCCAGATATTCACAAACTTAATACTTGACAAGTTCGTGAAAATTGTTAAAGAAACCAAAAACGACGATTTAATGAAGCAGTCTTTGATACCAAAGAATTTAGTAAATATTTGATTGATGCAATGCAGCAATTCACATCAATTTATAACTATTAATGTATTTCATGCTCATATTAATAAATTTTTAAGGAATCACAGTAACAACTCCATGCCGTCCTAATCCTTGCCAGAATGGTGGAAGATGTATGCTTGATTCAACTGCTGAAGGTGGATATGGATGTGCATGTTTCAGATTGTGGTCAGGCAAAAACTGTGAAACAGGTTAGTGATATATTGATTATTATGCAATATCTTGGAATCATTCAAATAAACAAACAAATATTTTTTCATATTGAGAAATTAGCAAGTTTGATCGATGTAGGAAAGTTCAAGTAAGTTTAGAAAAAGGGTTCTTGATTTTGGGTACTGACAAGTCAATGGCTTGAAATATTTGATCATGGATCAATATCAAATTTTCCCATTATATTCACTTTTCTCGATGTTAGACAGTTTTCAATATTGTTTCTATTGTTTTATATATTTAAAATCATTGTTATTTTATTTTTTAGGAATAATGAAACCAGATCCATGCAGAGACAATCCTTGCCAGAATGGTGGTAAATGTATGCTTGATTCAACCGCTGAAGGTGGATATGGATGTGCATGTGCAAGATTATATGGCGGCAAAAACTGTGAAAATGGTGAGTATTTTGGACTTCGATTCAATCTCTTTAAGCTTTCTCATGAAATATTGAGATAATGTAACTTCCTTTTCCAGTACTGTCACCGAGAGGACCTTGCAGACCAAATCCATGCCAAAATGGAGGAAATTGTATGCTTGATCAATATGCTCCAGGTGGATACAAATGCACCTGTATGGATATGTATTCTGGAACTAACTGCGAAAATGGTTGGTAACTTTTGTAACTGATAAAGTTTTTTGTTTTGTTTGTTTAAATAGCTTGTTGTTTCCATGTATAAACCGAATTGGGAATTGTCAAAGGGTCTTAAGTCATTGAAAGTGTAAAGTATTTTTATTTAAGTAAAAAATTTGACATATTAAATAAACAATTCATATTTATATAGTTAATGCTTATCGCTATCGTCTATTCAAATAGGGAGGAAAACATTATTTTTATCAAGACAAGAATTTTTATATGTCTCAAGATAATATTTCCCAAATGATGAGGTATTAGATATATAGACATCTAATCAAATGATTTATATTTTATTACATATTCCTTTGTTTAATATAGTGGTTTACTGTAAACGAATAAATACCACATTAGAAAATCATCGTATAGCTAATAGTAGTATTGAGTGTTAATTGGTAAATAGCTATTTTTTATACTTCTATTTGTTTCTTTTTCTTAGGTATGCCAAAACCAGATCCATGCCAAAAGAATCCATGCCAGAGTAGAGGAGTATGTATGAATGATCCAAAGGCAGAAGGCGGATATCTCTGTGCTTGTGCTAAATTATGGTCAGGCAAGAACTGTGAAATTGGTAAGTATTTTCAATAATGCAAAATAGAAATAAAATTTGGTGATACAAAATAAGTTAGTGATTTTTATTGATGCCATACATTATTTCATATCACTTTGTAATTGTTAATATATTTTATCATCATATTCATTTATTTTCTAGGAATTACAGTAACAACTCCATGTCGTCCTAATCCTTGCCAGAATGGTGGAAGATGTATGCTTGATTCAACTGCTGAAGGTGGATATGGATGTGCATGTACCAGATTGTGGTCAGGCAAAAGCTGTGAAATTGGTACGTTTTTTAAATATTGGAAAATTGAGATAAAATTTGGTGCTACTTTTTTTTTTTAAACTTGAGTCGGTCTGCCCAAGACAAATATTAATAAATTTGATACTTGACTAGTTCTTGAAAATTGTGAATGAAACCTCACACGATGATTTAATGAAACAGTCATTGATAGCAAAGAACTTAGTAATTATTTGATTGATGCAGTGGAGCATTTCACATCAATTTATAACTATTAATATATTTCATGCTCATATTCATGATTTTTTTTAGGAATTACAGTAACAACTCCATGCCGTCCTAATCCTTGCCAGAATAGTGGAAGATGTATGCTTGATTCAACTGCTGAAGGTGGATATGGATGTGCTTGTTTCAGATTATGGTCAGGCAAAAACTGTGAAATTGGTATGTTATTTATTTATTCATTAAAAAATTACACATTATGTTACTATAGATGAAATTAAAGGATATATAATTTTTTCAAAGATTAGTCTACATGTCATGTCAGATTTTTTCAAATTTTTTATTAATAATATTTACTGAAATTATACCTTAATTTAGATATTAAATAGGCAATATTTATATAAAATTTGAAATGATTTTAGGAAATGGTGAATATAACCGTCTTCAAACTTATAAATTAGCAAATTATGGTCAAGAGTTTACTAATTTTTAGAGTATTCACCAAATATACAATTTGCAATGCAATAGCAATCTTGGAATATCTAAATTAAAAAAAAATGCTGCAGATAACTGCTTCCTGAAAGGCATTAGATATAATCATGTAATTAAAACAAATATACCTTTTGTTATATATTACTTTGTTGGATATAGTGTTTTATTATAAATCAATAAATACAACATTACATATCATCATATAGCTAATGTGAGTATTGATTGTTGATTGGTAAATAGTTATTTGTTGTACTTACTATTTGTTTCTTTTTCTTAGGACTGCAGAAACCAGATCCATGCCAAAAGAATCCATGCCAGAATAGAGGAGTATGTATGAATGATCCAAATGCAGAAGGCGGATATCTCTGTGCCTGTGCTAAATTATGGTCAGGCAAAAACTGTGAAATTGGTATGTTTTTCAAATATTGGAAACTTGAGATAAAATTTGATGTCACATTTTTTTTAAATTAGGTTGGTCTGTCCAAGCCAGATATTCACAAACTTAATACTTGACAAGTTCGTGAAAATTGTTAAAGAAACAAAAAACGACGATTTAATGAAACAGTCGTTGATAGCAAAGAATTTAGTAAATATTTGATTGATGCAATGCAGCATTTCACATCAATTTATAACTATTGATATATTTCATGCTCATATTAATAATTTTTTTAGGAATTACAGTAACAACTCCATGCCGTCCTAATCCTTGCCAGAATGGTGGAAGATGTATGCTTGATTCAACTGCTGAAGGTGGATATGGATGTGCATGTTTCAGATTGTGGTCAGGCAAAAACTGTGAATCAGGTTAGTGATATATTGAATTTTATGCAATATCTTGGAATCATTCAAATAAACAAACAAATATTTTTTCATATTGAGAAATTTGCAAGTTTGATCGATGTAGGAAAGTTTAAGTAAGTTTAGAAAAAGGGTTCTTGATTTTAGGTACTGACGAAATTAATGGCTTGAAATATTTGATCATGGATCAATATCAAATTTTCCCATTATATTCACTTTTCTCGATGTTAGACAGTTTTCAATATTGTTTCTATTGGTTTATATATTTAAAATCATTGTTATTTTATTTTTTAGGAATAATGAAACCAGATCCATGCAGAGACAATCCTTGCCAGAATGGTGGTAAATGTATGCTTGATTCAACTGCTGAAGGTGGATATGTATGTGCATGTGCAAGATTATATGGCGGCAAACACTGTGAAAATGGTGAGTATTTTGGATTTTGATTCAATCTCTTCAAGCTTTCTCATCAAATATTGAGATAATGTAACTTCTTATTTCAGTACTTTCACCAAGAGGACCTTGCAGATCAAATCCATGCCAAAATGGAGGAAATTGTATGCTTGACCAATATGCTCCAGGCGGATATATATGCACATGCAGAGATATGTATTCTGGCACTAACTGCGAAAATGGTTCGTGAAATAATTTTTTTTGAAATTGCATGAGTTGAAAATCAATTTGATTTAAATGCAAAAAATATCTGCCAAAGAAGCGACTGATATTACATTTGTAATAGTTGTAATCATAATCTGGAAGTTGCTAATAATTGTAATTTAGTATTTCTACACAGGGCGCACTGATTTTTTCTTTTCACAAACCAAGTCAAAAACACTTACTTTTCAGCATTTTACGATTATAAATTTTTTGTTTTAATTTGTAAAAATGGCTTGTTGTTTTCATATATAAACAAGATTGAGAAATGGCAAAACGTCTTGGGTTGTAATAAGGATCAAAGTACTTATATTTAATTGCGAAATTTAAACACCGTTGTGATACATACATAATTTTGCTGCTGTTGGATGCTCCAATTACCATATAATTTTTCTATGTTCTTCCTATTTATGCTATCTATTTCACTCCATTATTGTTACTACCGTGGTAAGCGATCATCACGATAGTGTATCATTGGAACCGAATGATGTGTATTAAGATATAGAAAATCAGAGTTTCATTATTAGAATATGGAATAAGTACGCGTACATACTATATACAAAGTATATATATTTTTCGAAATATAAAAAGTGTTCTGACGAATTTTTCATGGATTGTGTCTAGAATTCAAGTGCCCGCCCGGACGAACATATAGCAGTTGTAAGCCTTGTGCAGGAACATGTGAAGATCCGAATATCAGTGTTCTTACAGCGAAACCTGGAGAGCTAGTTGGTTGCACTCTAGCCTGTGTAATGGGAAATTATTGTAGCTGTCCAGAAGGCTTCATACAGAGAAGTAAAGATGATATAACTTGTGTTGAAATTCAATCATGTATAGATGATACAGGTGAGAACTTTTTTTTTTGCTATTGATGCCAATCGACAATCGTAGTAAATCTAATCTTCTTCATGTACTTCATCTTCCGTAAATATGATCTAATTATTAGTGATACACGAGGTCATAGAAAATCACAATAATAAGCCTGTGTTATGACCCAATAGCAATGGGGCTTTTAAGGATCGTCCATTGCAGTTGCTTTACATTGTAATCATTTTTATTCAATTCATGAATTTCACTTTGTAACCAACATAAATGCGGATTCATTTGTTCACATTTCATTTCTCATTTGAGTCCGTAGCTTCAGGGTCGCGTAGCACTGCTTTAGACCCACTAAAACAACCATAGCATGCAATTTTTCAAGCATGGAGTAATTTTTATCTACATATATGTATTTTTTTAGTGGGATTTGAAAAAGGTACATGTGGATACGCGCGAGCTGTTGCAATTGTAGCTGCAATTCCAGATGCTCCAATTCCTGAATGTGATGATAACGGCATGTATCGCACAAAGCAATGCGATGGATTTTCAGGATTCTGTCATTGCGTCAATGAAATGAGTGGAGTAATGCTTGAAGGAACTTCTATGCCAGATGCCACTTTCACTTTGGACTGTGACAACCTACCAGGTGTTTGACTTTTGCCATAATTCATCTACCCAATATATCATTGAGTCATTTATTGGACACGAAGTGGACCTATGAAGCGTTTTAATATTATGTTGTTGTTAAATTTTTTTGTCATATTCTTGTTCCTTTTCTCGTTCATATACTTCTTGTTATAAAGAAAAAAAAATCGCTTTTCCATTAAACTACTGGACCAAACGCCTTGAATTTTTCAATGATTGAAGATCGGAGTTGTCACTAGAATGCTTTTACTTTTATTCATTTCTGAATGTAAGTAATTGTAAAAGATAGAGTACGGTACTATTAATGATTTAATATTACAGTTGTGAGCCGAGTCATTTAGCATTTTAATTCACTTTGGCACAAGACGCATGACTCATCATTGTCACAGTACTTGTTAAAGCTAGGGCAGTCTGGGCACTGATATGAGTAAGTTACGTTGGTCACAGTTCCAGCTTTGTCCAGGATATGATTTTTGGGGATAATGTTTGTGAAATTTTTTGTTTTTGCCTTTGTGTCCATATATTTGAGTATGGCTTTTTATGTTTACTTATATTTTTCTGCTTTCATCTATTCAGTGTAGAGATAGATCGTAATATCAATTAATGAATATTCAAATACGGCATGTAAATAGAGCCATTCATCTTAGTAACTTACATGAAATTATTTTCAGATACATGCAAGTATGTTAGAGCAAGCCTAATTGCAAATACATTCCTCATGGATGCTTTCATACCAGAGTGTGATGTTGATGGCAACTATCTTAGAAAACAATGCTATGGTTTTACCATGCAGTGTTTCTGTGTTGAAAAAATGACAGGAAAAGAAATTGATGGCACTAGAGGTCCAGATGAAACATTTTCATTAGATTGTGATAAACATCAAGGTAGTTAACAATTTCTACTCCTTATAATATAAATCTATTTTTTCAACTTATAATATGCACCATCAAACCTAACTCATTTCATTTGTATATCTGTAATTTTGTTATGTTAATCAAGTTTTTCTCATGCCATCTATTTCACTTCACTATTGTTACTTCCGTAGTAAGTGGTCATCACGGTAATGTATCATTGGAACCGAATGATGTGTATTAAGATATAGGAAATCAGAGTTTCTTTATTAGAATATGATTAAGTACACGTACATACAAAATATATATATTTTTTGAAATATAAAAAGTGTTCTGACGATTTTGTCATTGATTTTGTCCAGAGTTCAAGTGCCCGCCCGGACGAACATATAGCAGTTGCAAGCCTTGTGCAGGAACATGTGAAGATCCAAATGTCAGTGTTCTTACAGCAAAACCTGGAGAGCCAGTCGGTTGCACTTTAGCTTGTTTAATGGGAAATTATTGTAGTTGTCCAGAAGGCTTCATACAGAGAAGTAAAGATGATATAACTTGTGTTGAAATTCAATCATGTATAGATAAAGGTGAGAATATTTTTTTTCTGCTATTGATGCCAATCGTAGTAAATCTAATCTTCTTCGTGTACTTCATCTCCTGTAAATATGATCTAATTATTAGTGATACACGAGGTCATAGAAAATCACAAAGATGAGCTTGGGGTATGACCCAACAGCAGCAGTGCTTTTAAGAATGGTCCATTGCAGTTGCTTTAAATTGTAATCATTTTTATTGTTTCAATTCATACATTTCTCTTTGTAGCCAACAGAAATGCAGATTCAACATCTCTTGAGTCTGTGGCTTCAGGGTTGCGTATCACTGCTTTAGATTCACTAAAACAACCATAGCATGCAGAATGTTTTTCATCGACCAAGCGGCGGCGCTTCGAGCTTAGACCACTCTCGCTCCCGGCTTAATTGGTTTCCCTATATTTCTCTCGCCTTCATTTTGTGATAAACCTCTCTTTCCTAATGCCCGCCCCATGACACGTGATTAGCCATTTCATGCATGGTCATCCTAACTTAAAAGTTATAATCGGTAATGACGTTTTTAAGAGAGAACAAGGAGAAAAAGGCAATTTAGAAAATGATAGTTCTATAAATAGATACGATTTGAAGCTGTTTAGTTAGTTATCATAGGAACATGGTACAGGCAACTCAAAGCTGAAACAGGTGTTTTGGGATCCTTATGATGGCAATACTGTATTATCCATCTATATACCGAGACAAATAATTGCACTCTTGAATTTTTATGGCTGTTGTACACTAACAATATTATAGTTATCAAATAATATTGTCATCAAACTAGCTTCGAATTTGTTGAAGGTAATTTGGAATTCGAACAACAGTTTTATCTATATTAATGGTTGTTATTAGTTTGCTAAAAATTACACAAAAAACATAAGACATATACATGTCCTATTAAAACTGAATACATTTGAATTGAGATTGCAATTGTTGAATTATGCAATTTTTATTCTTAACACTCAACAGTTTCCGAGACCCAAATTTTGGAGTCCCCAATTTTTTTGACCAGTTCATACAAGCGTGTGATCTCCTTTCATAAATCTGAAATCATTGTATTGCAAAATACCAGTAGTAAGTAAGATGTAACTGCACATATGTTACCACAACATAGAAGGGCAGGTGTTTATTGTATAATAGAAACTAATTTAGGATTGCGCAATATTATTCGATTATTCGGTTCGATTCGGCGAAAATATTCGATTCGAATCAAAAAATTATTCAATTTTGGACAGCCCTCGTCCAAATGATGAGGTATTAGATATATAGACATCTAATCAGATGATTTATATTTTATTACATATTTTTTTGTTAAATATAGTGGTTTATTGTAAACGAATAAATACCAGATCAGAAACCATCATATAGTTAATAGTAGTATTGAGTGTTGATTGGTAAATAGCTATTTTTTATACTTACTATTTTTTTTTTAGTTATGCCAAAACCTGATCCATGCCAAAAGAATCCATGCCAGAGTAGAGGAGTATGTATGAATGATCCAAAGGCAGAAGGCGGATATCACTGTGCTTGTGCTAAATTATGGTCAGGCAAAAACTGTGAAATTGGCAAGTATTATAAATATTGGAAAAATTGGAATAAAATTTGGTGATAAAAAATAGTTTAAGTGGTTTTATCTATGCCATACATTATTCTATATCACCTTATAATTGTTAATATATTTTATCATCGTATTCATGGACTTTTTAGGAATAACAGTAACAAATGCATGCCCTCCTAATCCTTGCCAGAATGGTGGAAGATGTATGCTTGTATATAAAATTAAGTCGGTCTGTCCAAGCCAGATATTCACAAACTTAATACTTGACAAGTCCGTGAAAATTGTTAAAGAAACCACAAACGACGATTTAATGAAACAGTCATTGATAGCAAAAAACTTAGTAATTATTTGATTGATGCAGTACCGCATTTCACATCAATTTATATCTATTAATATATTTCATGCTCATATTCATGGATTTTTTAGGAATTACAGTAACAACTCCATGCCGTCCTAATCCTTGCCAGAATAGTGGAAGATGTATGCTTGATTCAACTGCTGAAGGTGGATATGGATGTGCTTGTTTCAGATTGTGGTCAGGCAAAAACTGTGAAATTGGTATGTTATTTATTTAGTCACTAGAAAATTGCACATTATGTTACTCGAGATGAAATTGGAGGATAGAATTTTTTCAAAAATTAGTCTACATGTCATGTCAGATTTTTTCAAATTTATTGTTAATAATATTTACTAGAATTGTACCTTGATTTAGATATTAAATAGTCAACATTTATATAAAATTTAAAATGATTCTTGGAAATGGTAAATATAACCGTCTTCAAACTTATAAATTAGCCAATTATGGTCAAGAGTTTACTAATTTTTAGAGTATTCACTAAATATACAATTTGCAATGCAATAGCAATCTTGGAATATCTAAATTAAAAAAAAACTGCTGCAGATAACTGCTTCCTGAAAGGTATAAATTGGTAAATAGTTATTTGTTGTACTTACTATTTGTTTCTTTTTCTTAGGACTGCAGAAACCAGATCCATGCCAAAAGAATCCATGCCAGAATAGAGGAGTATGTATGAATGATCCAAATGCAGAAGGCGGATATCTCTGTGCCTGTGCTAAATTATGGTCAGGCAAAAACTGTGAAATTGGTAAGCATTTTAATTATTGAATGCCATACAGCATTTCACATCAATTTATAATTGTTAATATATTTTATCATCATATTCATGGATTTTTTAGGAATGACAGTAACAACTCCATGCCGTCCTAATCCTTGCCAGAATGGTGGTAGATGTATGCTTGATTCAACTGCTGAAGGTGGATATGGTTGTGCATGTACCAGATTGTGGTCAGGCAAAAACTGTGAAATTGGTACGTTTTTTAAATATTGGAAAATTGAGATAAAATTTGGTGCTACTTTTTTTTTTTAAACCCAAGACAAATATTAATAAATTTGATACTTGACTAGTTCTTGAAAATTGTGAATGAAACCTCACACGATGATTTAATGAAACAGTCATTGATAGCAAAGAACTTAGTAATTATTTGATTGATGCAGTGGAGCATTTCACATCAATTTATAACTATTAATATATTTCATGCTCATATTCATGGATTTTTTTTAGGAATTACAGTAACAACTCCATGCCGTCCTAATCCTTGCCAGAATGGTGGTAGATGTATGCTTGATTCAACTGCTGAAGGTGGATATGGATGTGCATGTACCAGATTGTGGTCAGGCAAGAACTGTGAAATTGGTATGTTATTTATTTAGTCACTAGAAAATTGCACATTATGTCACTCAAGATGAAATTGGAGGATATAATTTTTTCAAAAATTAGTCTACATGTCATGTCAGATTTTTTCAAATTTATTGTTAATAACATTTACTGGAATTGTACCTTGATTTAGATATTAAATAGTCAATATTTATATAAAATTTAAAATGATTCCTGGAAATGGTAAATATAATCGTCTTCAAACTTATAAATTAGCCAATTATGGTCAAGAGTTTACTAATTTTCAAAGTAATCACCAAATATACAATTTGCACTGCAATAGCAATCTTGGAATATCTAAATTTAAAAAAAAACTGCTGCAGATAACTGCTTCCTGTAAGGCATCAGATATAATCATGTCATTAAAACAATTATACATTTGGTAAATATTCCTTTGTTGGATATAGTGGTTTATTATAAATCTATAAATACAACATTACATGTCATCATATAGCTAATGGGAGTATATATTGTTGATTGGTAAATAGGTATTTGTTGTACTTACTATTTGTTTCTTATTCTTAGGACTGCAGAAACCAGATCCATGCCAAAAGAATCCATGCCAGAATAGAGGAGTATGTATGAATGATTCAAATGCAGAAGGCGGATATCTCTGTGCCTGTGCTAAATTATGGTCAGGCAAAAACTGTGAAATTGGTAAGTAGTTTAATTATTGAATGCCATACAGCATTTCACATCAATTTATAATTGTTACCGGTAATATATTTTATCATCATATTCATGGATTTTTTAGGAATGACAGTAACAACTCCATGTCGTCCTAATCCTTGCCAGAATGGTGGAAGATGTATGCTTGATTCAACTGCTGAAGGTGGATATGGATGTGCATGTACCAGATTGTGGTCAGGCAAAAACTGTGAAATTGGTATGTATTTTAAATATTGGTAAATTGAAATAAAATTTGGTGATACAAAATAAGTTAGTCATTTTTATTGATGCCATACAGTATTTCATATCACTTCAGAATTTTTAATATATTTTATCATCGTATTCATGGATATTTTAGGGATTACAGTAGAAAATGCATGCCGCCCTAATCCTTGCCAGAATGGTGGAAAGTGTATGCGTGATTCAACTGCTGAAGGTGGATATGGATGTGCATGTTCCAGATTGTGGGCAGGCAAAAACTGTGAAATAGGTTAGTGATATATTAAATTTTATGCAATATCTTGAAGGTATTCAAATACACAAAATTGATATTCCCAGTATATAAAATTGACCATGTTTGATTGATACAAAATTCTACCAAAAGTTTAAAAGATGTTTTTCTTGATTTTGTCTGTTGAAATGGCTTGAAAAAAATTTAGTTACTTAATGATTATCAATATTTTTTCTATGAAATTTTCAGCAATGACATTAACAACTCCATGCCAGCCTAATCCTTGCCGGAATGGTGGAAGATGTATGATTGATTCAACTGCTCAAGGTGGATATGCATGTGCTTGTGCAAGATTATATAGCGGCAAAAACTGTGAAAATGGTTAGTATTTTGCATTTCGATTCAATCTCTTCATGCTTTCTCATCAAATATTGAGATAATGTAACTCCTTATTTCAGTACTTTCACCAAGAGGACCTTGCAGATCAAATCCATGCCAAAATGGAGGAAATTGTATGCTTGACCAATATGCCCCAGGCGGATATAAATGCACATGCAGAGATATGTATTCTGGCACTAACTGCGAAAATGGTTCGTGAAATAATTTTTTTTGAACTTGCATGAGTTGAAAATCATTTGATTTGAATGCAAAAAATAACTGCCAAGGAAATGACTGATGTTACATTTGTAAAAGTTGTAATCATAATCTGGAAGTTGCTAATAATTGTAATTTAATATTTTTACACAGGGCGCACTAATTTTTTTTTTCACAAACCAAGTCCAAAACGCAGCATTTTACGATTATAAAGTTTTTGTTTTAATTTTATTAAAATGGCTTGTTGGTTTCATATATAAACATGATTGAGAAATGGCTAAACGTAGGATGGGGATAGGAGGATAGGATATACATATTTATCCCGGGGGAGAGGAAAGCCGATAAGACGGCTTATCCATATGGCGAACCACGGCCTCTCGTCCGGTTACCATTCCAAGTCGGGTATGGGATTAGTTATATTGTTTGTTTTCGGAAGCATGGAGCATGGACTTGGTGGTGGAGGAAGCCGTAACCGACCAGCGGTTACGTGAACCACCCAACGACGGCGAGGAGTCCAGCAATCCTCTCGCACATAACCATCCCTGCATGGGATTCGAACCTGCAAACCCATGCAGGGTAATTAGAGGTGCGGTGGCGAGCGTATTCCTAACGCTTAGCCCGTTGAGCCACACCGCCGCGTCTCAGGTTATAATAAGGTTCAAAGTACTTTAATTTATTTGAGAAATTTAAACACTGTTGTGATACATACTAATTACCATATAATTTTTCTATGTTCTCCTTATTTATGCTATCTATTTCACTCCAATACTGTTACTACCGTGATAAGCGATCATCACGATAGTGTATCATTGGAACCGAATGATGTGTATTAAGATATAGAAAATCAGAGTTTCATTATTAGAATATGATTAAGTACACGTACATACAAAATATATATATTTTTTGAAATATAAAAAGTGTTCTGACGAATTTGTCATTGTTTTTTTCCAGAATTCAAGTGCCCGCCCGGACGAACATATAGCGGTTGTAAGCCTTGTGCAGGAACATGTGAAGATCCGAATATCAGTGTTCTTACAGCGAAACCTGGAGAGCTAGTTGGTTGCACTTTAGCGTGTTTAATGGGAAATTATTGTAGCTGTCCAGAAGGCTTCATACAGAGAAGTAAAGATGATATAACTTGTGTTGAAATTCAATCATGTATAGATGATACAGGTGAGAACTTTTTCTTTTTGCTACTTCATCTTCCATAAATATGATCTAATTATTAGTGATACACAAGGTCATAGAAAATCACAAGGATAAGCCTGTGTTATGACCCAATAGCGATGGTGCTTTTAAGAATTGTCCATTGCAGTTGCTTTGCATTGTAATCATTTTTATTGAATTCATGAATTACTCTTTGTAGCCAACATAAATGCAGATTCATTTGTTCACATTTCATTTCTCATTTGAGTCCGTGGCTTCAGGGTCGCGTAGCGCTGCTTTAGACCCACTAAAACAACCATAGCATGCAATTTTTCGAGCATGGAGTAATTTTTATCTAAATATGTATTTTTTAGTGGGATTTGAAAAAGGTACATGTGGATACGCACGAGCTGTTGCAATTGTAGCTGCAATTCCAGATGCTCCAATTCCTGAATGTGATGATAACGGCATGTATCGCACAAAACAATGCGATGGATTTTCAGGATTCTGTCATTGCGTCAATGAAATGAGTGGAGTAATGCTTGAAGGAACTTCTATGCCAGATGCCACTTTCACTTTGGACTGTGACAACCTACCAGGTGTTTGACTTTTGCCATTATTCATCTACCCGATATTTATTGACGAATTTATTGGACAAGAAGTGGACCTATGATTCGTTTTAATATTATGTTGTTGTTAGAATTCTTTGTTATGTTCTTGTTCCTGTTCTCGTTCATATGCTTATTGTTATGAAAAAAATCGCTTTTCCATTCAACTACTGGACCAAACCCTTTGAATTTTTCAATGATTAAAGACCGAGGTTGTCACTAGAATGCTTTTACTTTTATTTATTTCTGAATGTGAGTTACTGTATAAGATAAAGTACTATTAATGATTTAATATTACAGTTGTGAGGTGAGTCATTTAGCATTTTAATTCACTTTGGCACAAGACTAGGGCTGGGAGTGGTTGACCGGGTAATCGGTTAACCGATTTATATGGTTAACGGTTTCGATTTATTTTAACTGTTAACTGACAATGTCAGGTACAAATCATATTTTTAATGTATAATTTTTTCAAAAATGATTACGTCATCGCAAATTTATCTCATGTGGCTTTTAATTTAAAAGAAAATCACTCCTGTATTGGTAAGGACCCAACAAATGTGAAAAATAATTAAAGTAACAAGATTGCTAATTATGAAAATTTGACAATGATAAATTCAAAATCATTTTTCGGTCGAAATATATTGGTCACGATTTTATTGCAAAATTGTATATTCTTTGCCATTCAACAAGTGCGCAGTTGATGCTGTTTTTCTTTATGATATCTCAGAGTAGAATTTGCACGTCGAACACTGAAAATTTGGCACATAAAAGACATTTAATATCAGATTTGGATTTTAGAAAAATATTTTCAAATGTCCAGAGCTCATATATCTTGCAGCAGAGCGATCATGAAATGAAATTTTGAGCGATACTGGAATAAGATCACGCTGAATTGCTTTGTAACCATTGTGACGTAACAAGCTAAAACTAGAAATTATTACGTCAAACGTTACGCCGCGGTTAACTGGTTAATTTTGCCCGGTTAACGGTTGAAGTGTTTCCCCCGAAATTCCCAGCCCATACACAAGACGCATGACTCATCATTGTCACATTACTTGTTAAAGCTAGGGCAGTCTGGGCATTGATATGAGCGAGTTACGTTGGTCACAGTTCCAGCTTTGTCCAGGAAATGCCATCCATCTTAGTAATGTAAATGTATTTATTTTCAGATACATGCAAGTATGTTAGAGCAAGCCTAATTGCAAATACATTCCTCATGGATGCTTTCATACCAGAATGTGATGATGAGGGCAACTACCTTAGAAAACAATGCTATGGTTTTACCATGCAGTGTTTCTGTGTTGAAAAAATGACAGGAAAAGAAATTGATGGCACTAGAGGTCCAGATGAAACATTTTCATTAGATTGTGACAAACATCAAGGTAGTGAACAATTTTTTTACTCCTTATAATATAAATCTATTTTATCAACTTATAATATACACCATCAAACCTAACTCATTTCATTCGTATATCTGTAATTTTGTTAAGTTTATCTAATTTGAAATTTCTGGAAACTTATAGAACGAAATCTGACAGAACTTTCTCAAATTTAAAATAAACATTATAATAAACAGCAAGATATGGTTGAACATGTGCTTGATTTGATAGATTTTGGAATTTCAATTTGAGGATCGTTTTAAACTTCGAGAGTTTAAGTTACATCACACTTATAACTTCGATTTTTGTTACAATGATATACTATGTTTTAATAACAGTTGTGGATTATTCTGCAAGATGCCGTGCAAGATATGGTAGAGCATGCGATGCAAATGCAGAATGCATAAAAGCTGGAGATACATATGAATGCAGATGTAAATTTACAGATGGATACTTTGGAAATGGACTATACTGTGACAGTAAGTGATTACAAGCCTAAATGTTATTTCATTATGTCGATTTTACCCATTTCATCTATGCTAATGCACCACTGTATTTAAATTACTAATAACTATGACATAAATTAAAGAATCTCTTGAAGAAAAAAAAATAAAGCACTCTAATGATGATATTCTGTTCTTGTGCCAGGTGGCACACCAGAAAATGATTGTCATCGGTATGGTGGAAGGAAATGTAGTGGAAATGCAGATTGTGGTCGAGATAAATTTAGCGGTTCATACACATGTACTTGTAATGATGGTTACATTGGGGATGGATACACTTGCGGTGGTATGTCAATCTTTATTATACTAATTTTTAACGGGTAATAAATCAAGATTTAGTGGATTTACTACAATATAATTCAATTTTTTAGTTTATGAAATTAAAGAGAAATCATATTGTTGGGATAAACATGGTGAAATGTGTTCTGATGATGCTGATTGTGTTACAAGCGATGGAATGAAATATGTTTGCAGATGTAGAAAAGGATTCTTTGGAAATGGTTTCTACTGTATGCGTAAGTAATTTTCTGATTTAAAGGGAAATTTTTAATCATTTTTGTATGTTTACAACTGTCTTATCAACCAGGTGGAAGTCCTGAAAATCCATGTCAAGGAAGATATGGTCGAAGATGTGCTGACAGAGCTGCTTGTCAATTGGATAGTGGTGATGATCAATGGAAATGTATGTGCAGAGATGGATTTTCAGGAAATGGATTCTACTGCATTCGTAAGTTACTGCTAGAATTGCAAGTATATCAGAATGTAGTCAACAAGTTGTGACAAACTGTTCAATTCTATTTCATTAAACCTTTGGTTTTGACAATGTTTCAGCAATAATTCAAGATATAAACTTTTTTGCATATAATCTAGATATTAAATATTGGTGAAAGAATATTTTCGATATGCTGTGCTTTTATTTTATCAATTTCAAACAAAAAGATTTTTTGTAACAAGAATTAAAATCCTTTCTGAATGCCCTTAGTTTGACCTCAGTTTGTATTTTTTGTAACTTCAACTCACTGAAGTATAACAGTATTTACAACTTTTCTGATTGCATTTTTAAATATAGTAACTTATTGCTACAAAACTTAATACAAAAATCAAAAAAGATGGAAAATATATGTTTATAATAATGAAGACATGTCTGAAAATTTAATCAATTCAAATTAGTTTGGTTGAATGAAAATACAACACATTTCTAAAAATTTCATGTATGTTCCAGGTGGACCATTCGATAACCAATGTCACAGATATCATGGTAGAAGATGTGGTGAAAATGCTTATTGTAACATGCTATCTGAAGGAAGATACAGATGTGCTTGTAACGATAATTATCGAGGCAATGGATTCAACTGCAGAGAAATGAAAGGTGAGTATTCAAAATCATAAATCACATTTTGTCACATGCCAGGGAAATGAATGTGTGTGTCATTTCATTAGAGAATTCCAACTTTCGTCAATTATCATATAGTTTAATTCGCTTTCCAACTGACGAATTATTTGTTTATATACTAATAAAAACATTGACTAATGAACTTTGTTTTGATGACAGTTGTGGATTATTCTGCAATATGCCGCGCAAGATATGGTAGATCATGTCATGCAAATGCAGAATGCATGAAAGTGGGAGATAAATATGAATGCAGATGTAAATCTGGATACTTTGGAAATGGACTATACTGTGACAGTAAGTGATTGATCCATACATGAAAAAATTTTATCAATAAGATTTAATTTTGAGTTCAACGGTTGCTGGGAAGTGTATACAACTTTTCATGGCACAGCTGTAAAAAGTATACGGAATATAAAAAATTATAAACAATTCAATGAATAAGAACACATTTCATTGATTCTTCTCTGTTCTTGTTTTAGGCGGCGATGCAGAAAATGATTGTCATCGATATGGTGGAAGGAAATGTAGTAGAAATGCAGGTTGTGCTCGAGCTCAATTTGGTGGACTGTACACATGTACTTGTAATGAGGGCTACATTGGTGATGGATACAATTGTGGTGGTATGTCAATCTTCATCACAACAATTATTAACAGTCAATATATCAAGATAGATTGGTTTAACTACAATATAATTCAACTTTTAGCTTTTGAAATTAAAGACAAATCATATTGCTGGGATGCCCATGGTGAAATGTGTTCTGATGATGCTGACTGTGTTACAAGTGATGGAATGAAATATGTTTGCAAATGTAGAAGAGGGTTCTTTGGAACTGGTTTCTACTGCATGCGTAAGTAATTTTCTGATTTACAGGATTGTTTTATTCATTTTTGTTTGTTTACAATCAACTGTTATAATAACCAGGTGGAAGTCCTGGAAATCAGTGTCAAGGAAGGTATGGTAGAAGATGTGCTAACAGAGCTGCTTGTCGATTGGACAGTAGTGATAGTCAATGGAAATGTATGTGCAATGATGGATTTTCAGGAAATGGATTCTATTGCATTCGTAAGTTATTGCTACTAATTTAGTATATTTTAATTTTAGTTTGTGCACCTGGTTTTTGGAATATACCTTTTATGAAAGTTGAAACATTGAAAATTTCAAAATTTTTTCTAAACTTTTTGCATAGAAACATTCAATTCAGATTTCCGTTTCATTTTACATTTTTCTAAATATTAAATCTCATCATATTAATATTATCTACATTCTGCTTGCTTTTATAAATGCGTTTCATGATGTATTTGATAAACATACTCACATATCACCCAATTTATAACTAAATCGAAATTATTAAATATTGATAACACTATTTATGAGATAAAATTTTGTGCTTATAAACTCATGTCAATAATTTGAATAATTTAAAATTTTATGTTTACTTCAAAATATTATACAATTATTTCAAATTGAATCCTTGTTCCAGGTGGACCATTCGATAACCAATGTCACAGATATCATGGTAGAAGATGTGGTGAAAATGCCTATTGTAACATGCTATCTGAAGGAAGGTACAGATGTGCTTGTAATGATAATTATCGAGGCAATGGATTCAACTGCAGGGAAAAGAAAGGTGACATAAGAATGTATTTGCACTTTGAAAACATTCTAATCAGACATGAATAAATTAGACATTCAAGTAGTTTGCTATTCGAATAAATTCTCAAATAAAATGAAATTATATATAAGTCTAAATAGATGTCAATTTGAGGGTCATTTTTAACATTAGGAGTTTTAATTACATCCCACTCATACTTTTGATTTTCGATACAATACTATACTATGTTTTAATAACAGTTGTGGATTATTCTGCAAGATGCCGTGCAAGATATGGTAGAGCATGCGATGCAAATGCAGAATGCATAAAATCGGGAGATACATATGAATGCAGATGTAAATTTGCAGATGGATACTTCGGAAATGGACTATACTGTGACAGTAAGTGATTACAAGCCTAAATCTCATTTTATTATGTCGATTTTACCCCTTTCATCTATGATAATGCACCACTGTATTTAAATTACTATAACTATAACATAAATTAAAGAATCTCTTGAAGAAAAAAAAAGAAAACACTCTAATAATGATATTCTGTTCTTATGCCAGGTGGCACACCAGAAAATGATTGTCATCGGTATGGTGGAAGGAAATGTAGTGGAAATGCAGGTTGTGGTCGAGATAAATTTAGCGGTTCATACACATGTACTTGTAATGATGGTTACATTGGTGATGGATACACTTGCGGTGGTATGTCAATCTTCATTATATTAATTTTTAACGGTTAATAAATCAAGATTTAGTGGATTTACTACAATATAAATCAATTTTTTAGTTTATGAAATTAAAGAGAAATCATATTGTTGGGATGAACATGGTGAAATGTGTTCTGATGATGCTGATTGTGTTACAAGCGATGGAATGAAATATGTTTGCAGATGTAGAAAAGGATTCTTTGGAAATGGGTTCTACTGTATGAGTGAGTAATTTTCTGATTTAAAGGGAAATTTTTGATCATTTTTGTATGTTTACAACTGTCTCATCAACCAGGTGGAAGTCCTGGAAATCCATGTCAAGGAAGATATGGTAGAAGATGTGCTGACAGAGCTGCTTGTCAATTCGATAGTGGTGATGATCAATGGAAATGTATGTGCAGAGATGGATTTTCAGGAAATGGATTCTATTGCATTCGTAAGTTACCGCTAGAATTGCAAGTATATCAGAATGTAGTCAACAAGTTGTGACAAACTGTTCAATTCTATTTCATTAAACCTTTGGTTTTGACAATGTTTCAGCAATAATTCAAGTTATAAACTTTTTTGCATATATTCTAGATATTAAATATTGGTTAAATAATATTTTCGATATGCTGTGCTTTTATTTTATCAATTTCAACCAAAAATATTTTTTGTAACAAGTATTAAAAATTCTTTCTGAATGCCCTTAGTTTATCCTCAATTTGTATTTTTTATAATTTTTACTCACTGAAGTATAGCAGTATTTACAACTTTTTCTGATTGCATTTTTAAACATAGTAACTTATTGCTACAAAACTTAATACAAAAATCAAAAAAGATGGAAAATATATGTTTGTAATAATGAAGACATGTCTAAGATTTCATTCAATTTAAATTAGTTTGGTTGAAGGAAAATACAACAATTTTCTAAAAATTTCATGTATGTTACAGGTGGACCATTCGATAACCAATGTCACAGATATCATGGTAGAAGATGTGGTGAAAATGCCTATTGTAACATGCTATCTGAAGGAAGGTACAGATGTGCTTGTAACGATAATTATCGAGGCAACGGATTCAACTGCAGAGAAATGAAAGGTGAGTTTTTAAAATTATAAATCACATTTTGTCACATGCCAGGGAAATGAATGTATGTGTCATTTCATTAGAAAATTCCAGCTCTTATCAATTATCATATAGTTTAATTGGATCAATATTGAAAATTTATTTTTTTATATACTAATAATAACATTAGACTAATAAACTTTGTTTTGATAACAGTTGTGGATTATTCGGCAAGATGCCGCGCAAGATATGGTAGATCATGTCATGCAAATGCAGAATGCATGAAAGCGGGAGATAAATATGAATGCAGATGTAAATCTGCAGATGGATACTTCGGAAATGGACTATACTGTGACAGTAAGTGATTAGAAGCCTAAATGTCATTTTAATATGTTGATTTTACCCATTTCATCTATGCTAATGCACCACTGTATTTAAATTAGTATAACTATGACATAAAATAAAAAATCTCTTGAAAGAAACAAAATAAAACACTCTAATGGTGATATTCTGTTCTTGTGCCAGGTGGCACACCAGAAAATGATTGTCATCGGTATGGTGGAAGGAAATGTAGTGGAAATGCAGGTTGTGGTCGAGCTCAATTTAGCGGTTCATACACATGTACTTGTAATGATGGTTACATTGGCGATGGATACACTTGCGGTGGTATGTCAATCTTCATTATACTAATTTTTAACGGTTAATAAATCAAGATTTAGTGGATTTACTACAATATAATTTACTTTTTTAGTTTATGAAATTAAAGAGAAATCATATTGTTGGGATGAACATGGTGAAATGTGTTCTGATGATGCTGATTGTGTTACGAGTGATGGAATGAAATATGTTTGCAGATGTAGAAAAGGATTCTTTGGAAATGGTTTCTACTGTATGAGTAAGTAATTTTCTAATTTAATAGGAAATTTCAAATCATTTTTGTATGTTTACAACTGCCTTATCAACCAGGTGGAAATCCTGGAAATCCATGTCAAGGAAAATATGGTAGAAGATGTGCTAACAGAGCTGCTTGTCGATTCGATAGTGGTGATGATCAATGGAAATGTATGTGCAATGATGGATTTTCAGGAAATGGATTCTATTGCATCCGTAAGTTACCGCTAGAATTGCAAGTATATCAGAATGTAGTCAACAAGTTGTGACAAACTGTTCAATTCTATTTCATTAAAATTTTGTTTTTGACAATGTTTCAGCAATAATTCAAGATATACACTTTCTTGCATATAATCTAGATACTAAATATTAGTGAAAGAATATTTTCGATATGCTGTGCTTTTATTTTATCAATTTCAAACAAAAAAGATTTTTTGTAACATGTATTAAAAATCCTTTGTGAATTCCCTTAGTTTTTATTTTTTGTAATATCAACTCACTGAAGTATAGCAGTATTTACAACTTTTTCTGATTGCATTTTTAAACATAGTAACTTATTGCTACAAAACTTAATACAAAAATCAAAAAAGATGGAAAATATATGTTTGTAATAATGAAGACATGTCTAAGATTTTATTCAATTTAAATTAGTTTGGTTGAAGGAAAATACAACAATTTTCTAAAAATTTCATGTATGTTACAGGTGGACCATTCGATAACCAATGTCACAGATATCATGGTAGAAGATGTGGTGAAAATGCCTATTGTAACATGCTATCTGAAGGAAGGTACAGATGTGCTTGTAACGATAATTATCGAGGCAACGGATTCAACTGCAGAGAAATGAAAGGTGAGTTTTTAAAATTATAAACCACATTTTGTCACATGCCAGGGAAATGAATGTATGTGTCATTTCATTAGAAAATTCCAGCTCTTATCAATTATCATATAGTTTAATTGGCTCAATATTGAAAAATTATTTGTTTATATACTAATAATAACATTAGACTAATAAACTTTGTTTTGATGACAGTTGTGGATTATTCTGCAAGATGCCACGCAAGATATGGTAGATCATGTCATGCAAATGCAGAATGCATGAAAGCGGGAGATAAATATGAATGCAGATGTAAATCTGGATACTTTGGAGATGGACTATACTGTGACAGTAAGTGATTGATCCATACATAAAAATTTTATCAATAAGATATAATTTTGAGTTCAATGGTTTTTGGGAAGTGTATACAACTTGTCATAGCACAGCTGTAAAAATTATACAGTATATAAAAATGATAAACAATTTATTTGAATACGAACACATTTTATTGATTTTTCACTGTTCTTGTTTTAGGCGGCACACCAGAAAATGATTGTCATCGATATGGTGGAAGGAAATGTAGTGCAAATGCAGGTTGTGCTCGAGCTCAATTCAGTGGTTTATACACATGTACTTGTAATGATGGCTACATTGGTGATGGATACAATTGCGGTGGTATGTCAGTCTTCATCATGATAATTATTAACAGTTAATATATCATGATTGAGTGGTTTAAGTACAATATAATTCAAATTTTCAGCTTATGAAATTAAAGACAAATCATATTGCTGGGATGCCCATGGTGAAATGTGTTCTGATGATGCTGACTGTGTTACAAGTGATGGAATGAAATATGTTTGCAAATGTAGAAGAGGGTTCTTTGGAACTGGTTTCTACTGCATGCGTAAGTAATTTTCTGATTTACAGGAGTGTTTTATTCATCTTTGTATGTTTACAATCAACTGTTATAATAACCAGGTGGAAGTCCTGGAAATCAGTGTCAAGGAAGATATGGTAGAAGATGTGCTAACAGAGCTGCTTGTCGATTGGACAGTAGTGATAGTCAATGGAAATGTATGTGCAATGATGGCTTTTCAGGAAACGGATTCTATTGCATTCGTAAGTTGATGAAATTGTGTCTAAATTATTATAACCACACATAATCATGTTCATTAGATTGATGCATTGTTCACATTCTGCATAAAACATCATTCCATCCACTCAGTGATATAGCTTACATTTGTGCAAATTCCAATATTGAAAAGGTATGGTTCTATGTTGAAAAATCTTAATCATGCAAGAAATTTCGAAATGTAGAAATTTATTTTATTTGTAGTTTGTTGGATTGTTTCATGTATGTTAATTTCCCAATAAATTAAAATTCAAGAGCAGTTTTTAGATATTTTTATGATTACATTTCTATTGATAATATTTAACTATACTGCGTCAAATTCTAGAAATATTAGTTTGTTTATGTCACTGTCTTTTACAGTAGATAATTTTAATTATTTCAATATCAGTTTGATTGAAAAAAAATTAGTTATGAAATTGAACCTGTGTTTCAGGTGGACCATTCGATAACCAATGTCACAGATATCATGGTAGAAGATGTGGTGAAAATGCCTATTGTAACATGCTATCTGAAGGAAGGTACAGATGTGCTTGTAATGCAAATTATCGAGGCAATGGATTCAATTGCAGGGAAATGAAAGGTGAATATATTGCTATTCCTTTCTCATTTACAGTATTTCTTCTGCCCAAAACCTATCATTTTAAGAATACAGAAATAAATATTAAATGGAAAATATTATTAGAAATTGGTATTAAATATATAAATGATTTGAATAACTATTGAGAAAGGTCAGGCACAGTTCTTCCAATTGGATAGCAATATGCATTTTGATGATTCTATTTAATCTCTAATTTGTCTTAATACCTTAGTCTTCTTAATAAATTACGGTAGTCTAATGGTCTTCGCAACAAATTTTGCCAATTCGCCAACATAACAGATAAGGTAATGGCATATGGCTTGTTTAAATGCTGCCACTGTGGCAACATTGTCTCATCGATAAGCTGTGAAAAGTTGAAAGGTTAATTTGCTTTTTATTTCAAAATACATTTGAATATTTTTTTACGGTTATAGTGGAAGTTAAAGACAACTGCCATGAATATTACAATCGTCCCTGCGGGGCCAACGGAGAATGTTTTATGGATGGCGACATTTACAGATGTAGATGCCGATCTGGTTACACAGGAGATGGGTATAGTTGCCAAGGTAAATTTAATTCAGTATTAGAAGCTACTCGCAACATTGCAATAGAAAGCAAAAAAGTTAATAAGAGTCATGTGATGATATTTTCTCAATATACCTTCTTCAGATATGAGTTCCAGAAGTCCTTGCACATCAACATATGGACAAGAATGTCATCAACATGCAGAATGCAGGCCTGATGGTTCTGGAGGTCATGAATGTGTTTGCAGAAATGGGTATAATGGGGATGGAATCAACTGCCGAGGTAAACAGCATCTATGGGAAGATGACTTTTTCAATTCTAAAGTTAAGGAGTCGACCAAAAAATTTTGACAGTAAATTAAGTAACGCTATCCATCTACTTAAACATGTTGAGATTACCGTAATCATCTCGACGTGAGATTCTCTATTTGATTTTGCAGAAATGTAATCATAAAGTATTGAAAATCTTGTGTGTTCGTTACTGAAAATTTTTGGTGCTTTACCTTGATAACTATTTTATTATAATGGGCCTGCCCTTTTAATCTTGTAGCTCGAACATGCCAGAGACCAAGAGGTATTAATCAAGGCCGTGTTGTGGATCAAGGTGGATCGTTTATGATGAACCGTGCAATCACATACCAATGTGAAGGTGGATATAGGCTCCAGGGAGACATGAGGCGAACTTGCATGGCTGACGGAACATGGTCTGGCCAAGAACCTAAATGTGTCGGTATGTAGCACTAGATTGAAGTGAGATATTTCAAGAACCAAGTCTGCAACAGCCGGGGTCTACCATGGGAATTTATCAATTGATTCTCTTTTAATTTAATGGTTATTTAGGTAAAAGTGTCAGCAATTTGTTTTATCCTAATGTTGTTATTTATACACACCTTCATAGAACTAGATCATCTTATGATATAAATTGTTTTCTCTATGCAGTTGTTGACAATTGCTACCGATTATCTGCTCAACCTTGTCACCATGAAGCAACATGTGAAGCAAAAGCATCTGGAGGGTATGAATGTGTGTGTAAGCAGGGTTACACGGGCGATGGATTAATGTGTCGAGGTTAGATTTTCAAAAACAATTTCTACCTTGTATCTAATTTAATTTAAAAATTGAAGTAATCAAAACCTATTATTAAAATATTTCAGTCTATTTTCTGTTCTAATTGTATGTTTGATACTCACAGCTCAAGGTTGCAGTCGTCCAAGAGATATTGATAATGGCCGTATTTTGAGTGATCAAAGTATGTTCACGCCTGGAAATCAAATATATTACCAATGTAATCGGGGATTTAAACTTGAAGGAAGCCAACAACGATCGTGCCAAAACAATGGTCAATGGTCTGGCACTGATCCCATATGCCGATGTGAGTGAATATCACAGCATTGTACAATTAGCTGCAACCATAATTATCTGTCACTGTATATTACTAGAACTTATATTTGAAAATGTTGGACGCATAACATGTTGTTGGTAATAGGTTGTGAATATTTGTAGTATAGCTATAATTTTTTTTCAATATTTCATGTGTTCAAATTTTTTAGCTGATGATGAACAAGATGGAGTGTCACAAGATCCACCAGCTCAACTTTCTGATTGCCAGAATCAATACAGGCGGGCTTGCCATCAGTTTTCTGATTGCTTCAAGCGAAGACAAAATCAAAATGATTATTACTGTAAATGTAGACCTGGCTTTTCTGGGGATGGATTCACATGTAATCAAAAAACCGACGAAGATGATCTTCAAAGGGCACAGCCTCATGAGTGTCAAAGCTTCTTTGGCAAACGATGCCATGATTTTGCTGACTGTTACAAGAGACAAAATGGCGATTTCGTTTGTCGCTGTCGAGTTGGTTATTTTGGTAGTGATGGTTTTAGTTGCAGTCAAAGCCAACCTGAACAAGGAAAACCTGGACAGGAGCAACAAGGACAATCCGGACAGGATCAACCTGGACAGCCTGAACTAAGTCAACCAGGACAATCTGGAAAAGGTCAACAAGGACAGTCTGGAAAAGGTCAACCAGGAAAGCCTGGACGAGGCCAACCAGGACAGTCTGGAAAAGGTCAACCCGGACAAGGTCAACAAGGACAGTCTGGAAAAGGTCAATCCGGACAAGGTCAACCAGGAAAAGGACAACCTGGACAAGGTCAACCAGGACAGTCTGGAGAAGGTCAATCCGGACAAGGTCAACAAGGACAGTCTGGAGAAGGTCAATCGGGACAGGGTCAACCAGGAAAAGGACAACCTGGACAAGGTCAACCAGGACAAGGTCAACAAGGACAGTCTGGAGAAGGTCAATCCGGACAAGGTCAACAAGGACAGTCTGGAGAAGGTCAACCCGGACAAGGTCAACCCGGACAAGGTCAACCAGGAAAAGGACAACCTGGACAAGGTCAACCAGGACAGTCTGGAGAAGGTCAATCCGGACAAGGTCAACAAGGACAGTCTGGAGAAGGTCAATCCGGACAAGGTCAAACCGGACAAGGTCAACCAGGAAAAGGACAACCTGGACAAGGTCAACCAGGACAGTCTGGAAAGGGTCAATCCGAACAAGGTCAACCAGGAAAAGGACAACCTGGACAAGGTCAACAAGGACAGTCTGGAGAAGGTCAATCCGGACAAGGTCAACCAGGAAAAGGACAACCTGGACAAGGTCAACCAGGACAGTCTGGGAAGGGTCAATCCGGACAAGGTCAACCAGGAAAAGGACAACCTGGACAAGGTCAACCAGGACAGTCTGGAAAAGGTCAACAAGGACAGTCTGGAGAAGGTCAATCCGGACAAGGTCAACCAGGACAATCTGGACAAGGTCAACAAGGACAATCTGGACAAGGTCGACCAGGACAGCCCGGTCAAACAGGACAAACTGGAGAAATTGACCAACCAGGACAGCCCGGTCAAACCGGCCAAACAGGACAGGCTGGACAAACCGACCAACCAGGACAATCTGGGAAAAATCAGCCAGGACAAGGTCAAGCTGGACAAGGTCAAACAGGACAGCCCGGTCAAACAGAAAAGGCTGGAAAAACCGATCAACCAAGACAGCCCGGTCAACCCGACCAACCAGGACAGCCCGGCCAAACAGGACAGGCTGGACGAACCGACCAACCTGGGCAGCCAGGACAACCCGGTCAAGTTGATGGTAGCAGGCCACAGCCAGGACAATCCGGTCAAGTGGATGGTAGCAGGCCGCAGCCAGATCAACCAGAACAAGAAACTTGTCGAACTAGGTACAAAAAAGCATGTCATGCTTTTGCTGACTGCGTAGCAGGATCTGACAATCGTCCTACTTGCAAATGCAGGGGGGGATATATTGGAGATGGTTTTGATTGCAAAAGTAAGTAAAAAAATACCAATTACAATGCATTATATATTAACAGCAGAAATTCATTAACATGTTTTTTTTCAGAACCAGAACGAGAACGCAAGTGTCAACGGCCCAACAATATTGGAAATGGAAGAGTTGAGACAAGTGATGATTCATATACTATGAATTCAGTTCTCACATACTCATGTCAAGATGGTTACAAGTTGATGGGTGACCAGCAAAGGACATGCCAAGCTAATGGCCAATGGTCGGGATCCGATCCAAGATGTGAACGTGATCAAGCAAGTAAGTGTTGTAAAATCTGAAAATTGGGTTAAGTTTATTGGGTAGATAGTAGTGATAGTGCACTCAAAGACAGTTATGAAAAATTAAATTATTGGGATAACTGGGTGATAAAATAATTGATAGTATTTGAATTGATTCAAGATGACTATTTCACAAAAAACACATTAAACCCCCAATATCATTTTGTAGAGCCTACTAATTCTAATTTTAATTCATTGAATATTGTGAAATGGGTTGTGGAATATCCAAAGGGTGTTGCGAAGCAAAAAAGTTTGGGAACCACTGCCCTATAAATAACAACAACAATTTAATAAAACAATCCATCAACCCGACATTACCAAATGCAATGTATATGACTCCTTGTTCATTCACAACTTTAAGATATTTAAACAACAATTTTGACATTTTGAACTGCTACATATGGAAGCAGCATGATTTATTTGGCATAGCGTGATCCACCAATCTATCTGGTCCTATGAAGAACACTACATCAATCAATGCACAAAATAGAATTAGTGAAACATTTTATGTGTTATTTCAATTAAAACTTTTTTGTCCTTAGGTGGGCAGAAAAGATGTCAGAGACCACAAGATATTGGTCAAGGACGAATGGACTTCAGTGATAACAGTTACAATGAAAACAGTCAAGTGACTTATTCTTGTCAGCCAGGATACAAGCTCATGGGAGACTCGATAAGAAGGTGCCAAGGAGGTTCATGGTCAGGAAGCCAGCCAAGATGTGAAAGTATGTGATCAACTCATTAACCAGACTGAAACGATTATTAATAACTCATTTATAATCTGATCAACAAATGTGCAGGATTGCTTACCCTGTTGACATTTTAACACCTGTTTGTATTATTAATATCACTCAAATATATAAATAAGTGTGGTTTTTATTGTTTCATTAAGTCTTTATATCTCAATATGATTAATTCAACATTGCATCCCTGATCCCCTAAACTCGGTATTTATAGGAGATCAGCAACAACAACAGGATACTCGAGATGAATGTGAAAAACAAGGAAGAAAATGCGGCCAGAATGCACAATGCATATCCCAAGGTTCACGCTACAAGTGTCGATGTAACCGTCCCTATAATGGCGATGGTTACGATTGTTCAAGTATGTTATGTTATAATTTATTGTGCAGTATATGTACATTAGTAGGCTACCGCAGGGCTTCAAAAATATCTGGGTCCGGACTTCCCAAAAATTATATTTCGGCATCCTTAAACACGCAATTACTAGGCCGACTAATAATTATTAGCTGATCAAGATTGTTTGTTATGGCGTTATAGTTCTTTTCATATACAAATCGAATACCAGAAAGGTCCAGATTCGGACTGCGGTCTGCAAGTTGAGTAGACCTGGGCTACCGTATCGATCACAATGATTCACATATCTGCTGGTCGACTACGGTTTCTTCTACATACAATTCTGGGAACTCCTGTAGTATGTGTACCAGGTTAGGGTTAGGCCATAAGTTTATTCCTATTTTTCTTATTTTAGTCCTATTACGAGTTCGAGGACAGTCTGTGTTAGCCAAGTGAATATATCCCCTGTTCATAGGCTTCCGTCCCTTGATTGACACAGCTTGATTTAAAGTAGGCGAACAAAATTAGTTACCTCCATATAGGTACACGTACTTCTGGAGCGCCCAATTTTGTACATCTGTTAAATATATATATGAAACCTTGCATAAAAAGTTTTATGTTACAATTTTTAACCCAGAAACTTGCTCAAATGGACAAAGATGGAAGGTGTGTGTGAAGCCCTGTCCAGCTCATTGTGGAGATAGAACACCAGACTGCACTGGCTGTGCAGCTGGAAATCATTGTGCATGTGGAGGAGGAATGGTACAGAGAAGTTTAGACGACCCAACTTGCATTCGCCAGAGATTTTGTCCTAAAAAGAATGTAAGTAATGGTGTGTGAGAGTGAATTTATATTTCTCTAAATAAATGGGTTGAATTGTTTCGAGATAAGTCTTATTTTAAATCATTTTATTTTTTTTCAGCAATGAACTGAAGAATGACTCTGGATATAAACTCAATACTAGCACCTCACTTTTCAATATGTTTGACGGGCTGATTTGATAATATTAGATATTCATCATAACATTGAGATTTAATATGAAATGTAGAATTATGTACTATTTTATTATTGTAATATTGACGAGCATATATTCAATTCCTTGGTGATCAATAAATTCATATTCAATATATATTGCCTCTCTGTTGATTTTAATACAGATAAGTATTCAATGTAGTGTGTCGAACGTATGTTTTCAAGCATTTTATTTTGAGGCAGTGTTTACAATTTCTCCGGTGAAGGTATGAATTGATCTGAGTAACCGTAGCTCGTTCGGAAGGAACAGAGAAAGTTTCTTCAAAATGACCTTAACGGTATTTGTTAAGAAAAATACCTATTCTGAAAGGGAAACTAGCGAGAATAACATATTTTTAGAGAGGCATTGCGCTTCAAGCACGTAGCATTTTTTGGAATACATAGTTTTTTCAAAAGAGGCTTTTTTCCAGGCGGTATATCATTTTTTTAATGGGCATTACCACTTTTTGAACGGTATAACCTTTTCAAAACTCGCAGAGTCGCACTTGAGCAACGTCAATACTAGCTGACGAACTTTCGAAAAGATATTGAAAGTATAATAGATTATTCGACCCTTTATATTCGGAACCTAATTTCTAGTGCAACTAGTGCTGATACCGGTGCAACTTGATTCTCCCACATTGATGCGTTAGTAAAACGTGTCACGTTGCGCAGTGACATACCCCTTTTTTTTTTAAATGAGGGAACTTGTTGTTAGTGAATTCTATACAAAAGACAATCTTCAATTTCACCTTTCGTTACAACCGTCCTCGTCCTGGCAGTAAGTGGTATGCCGTCAAACATAACACTAAATATCGTACTATTACAACAGACCAACTAGTGCATTCTAATGGTAGACCACTTCGGCCCAATTACGTCACAAACTCAGAGGCCAGCTTATGAAACACTTTAAATCCGAAGACATAGCTCCTTCTCGTATCCCTCTCCCGTCACAGCCTTACCAAAAAAGGATAGTGATGCGAGCGCATTTGCGTTGGTTACAAATCTTTGAAAAAACAGACGATAAGTGACAGATGGACAATCAAGCCCTCTTGTAAAAGATTCCACTAATGAATTACACGTGTGTCAGTATTCTAGCAAATGCGACCTTTCGAAAGCATATCACCAAATACTACTTTAACAGCTGAGATCCTTCCCCGATCTGGTATGTTATCCTTGATTTGATAGGGAAAATTCACAGATCAAGAACGAGCGACATTCAATCCGTCTTATCGGCTTTCCTCTCTCCCGGTATAAATATGCAAATCCTATCTTGATGACTTTATTTATATATTGAGTTGGCTATATATGCATATGACTTGGCAGTATTTGTACATCCTCAAAATGGCTTTACCAACCCTATCGGATTGTTGTGGCAAATCCCAAATGATGAAACTGTTAAATTGTAAATAATTGGGTGACGCGAAAATTCCTATTAAAGCGGAAGTATATAAACAAACAAATGTTCAGTCGAAAGGTGTAATTAGTGGAGTAAAGTGCTGATTGACTAAGATATTTTAACTGCCAGTCTTTTGGACATATTTCCAAAAATTGGCAGGGATCAACGCGGTGCGCGAGGTGCAGAAGATGTCACCTTATCAATGAAGAGTAAAGGAAATCATAGTGCAGCATATGGCGTCCTAGATACAAAGAGGAGAGAAAGACATAGACAAAGAATTCATGCTCAACAAAGCGTCACTTACTGGGAGGCAAGATCAATTATAAAAAAAAAAACATTGCAGCTGCTCCAATTTTTTCAGAGGAAAATTTTCCCGCTATGCCGGATCCCGAAAGTTCTTCTAATCTAGAAATATTCCGCCATATCATGTCTCAGCCAGTACAGTCAGTTGATCTGTCACAAAGTACAAGTTGTCAACATAGAATAACGCGGTCAATAAAAATCAACTGCCTTTCCAGCGAGGTCCACATTATGGCGGCATGAGTAGACCTAATACTGACGAGGACATTCAAATACCCAAAATAAATTCATTATCGTTTTGTGCTTTCATAGCAGATATTATAAAAATCACTTTAAACTCTATTTCTTAAGAATCACAATAGGACATGATCTCAGAAATAATAAAAACGACGCATAAAAATATTAGGATTATTTTAGATACCGTAAGCAGAAACGTGTTTCCTTAGTTAATCTAAAATAATGGTACTAGGCTTGCACGTAATTTACGGATTTACGGAATTACGTAATTATTTGGAGTTACGGAAGGGAAGTTACGAATTACGTAAAGTCGTAATTATTGCATTGAAACGAGCTTCCTTCAAAGCAGTCAATTTCGTCGATTGCGAAAAATGAAAGCTCAACAAGTAGAAGAAGTTAGAGTTCCGGTATTCGCAGCCGTTTTTCTCTCTCTTGTTACGTAGGTGAAGGAAGGCATGCCGCGTTGCCATTTACTAACCTATTATCAACTTATCTGGCGTGGCCAATGTAAATTATTAGTTAGTTAATGGGGGAAGAACTGAGTAGGGTCGTTTGACGTCAACACACCTGGTTTTAACTTCTCCCGCAACTTAACCATAGATAAGGGATAGAATTGTGTTAAGACCGATGGACGCTAACACGCCCGGTTTCAACTTCTTCGGGTGAAATGACTAATGAACGCAGGAGATCAATCTATCAAACATGGCCTATCAAACATTTGTATCCATTTTACTTTTATTTATTATTTACTTGTTCCAGTTTTCCGTTACTTATGGTATATATGTTCCGTTTCTATTTTATATTCACGCGTTTGAATAGTGGGAATTCCCCGCAGAGTGTGGATTAGCAATGCTTAACCATTCTTTATTGTTAATATCAACACTTGATATATGAACATGGAATATCATATTGTTTTTGGCTGTTTCATTTCAGACTTGGGGTATAAACAGGAAAATATCCATAACCTTTCAACACGACGATCTTGTGAAATTTAATAACGAAGAGCTATCGCGACGAATTGGAACCAAATAAGCGAAAAGAGCGATTGATCACTCGCGCCAATACCTCGCCGTGATAATTAATGTCGCGCTTATCAAATAGCAATTTGACGACAAAAGAGAGATTGCGTAATGAACCAAAACGACGGATTCCTCGTGGACCGTTGAAAATTTAACTGCTATCATATATAATCAAATATGAGCCTGTGTGTTTATTCTGTGCGAGATCCATTTTCTATTACAAAATCTTGATGTTCTGTTAACGGTTTTATCTTATATATCAGTCCGGACTTGGCCGTGCTCATGATGTTTTTCACAATTCCTCTCAATATTTCGGCCATATATGATTAACTGTCTTACCAAATGCGGCAACTTATTTTGATTTATCGTCGACTTGAATACCACCGGCACTCGACCAAACTTTTGTCAATCTTGGCCGATAGGATCGCCGACTTGAGTTAGCAAATAAATGTTGTGAGTGTAAAATAAATGTCACAAAATGCATTGTTTTGCGATATAACTTTGTATTTTCGGAGAAGGCATGTCATATAAGTTCGGTATTTAAATTATACGCAAATAAATAATATTTGATCTAAATTTATCGCAAATAATGTTATAAACATTCAGTCCGCGAAATGATTGAATGTAAAATGAAGCATGGTAATCGGAATATCGTCAATAAGTCGACATCAATAATTATTATTATAAAAATGCTAACAAGGCATTAATGTCGGATAATGCAAAAAACGCTGCAAAAACAAGTCTTCGTCGCGAGGAAATCGCAAGTATGATAATCAAATGAGAGAATACGCTCGTCGTTGGTTAATAAATTAGAAACCCGTAATTTTTATTCAGTACTAAGGTGGTTTTAAAAAACTATCGTTTCCATAAATATCCGTATACCAGTGTCGGTAATGATAAAATAAAATTGATCGCATAAAAATGGGACGGTTAATTTGCGAAGGTGATAAAGAAAAACCAAAGCTAACACAAAAGATAAAAATCAGAATAAAATTAATTTGAATTCACTCCTTGATAGTTGTCTTTAACATCTGCCGACGGCGTGTAGTACTGCCAAGAATATGAAAACCCAACTTCAATGTCCCATTCGGAAAAGAAGTGGATTCAATTGGTTGTTATGATAGGTTTAATGCGTGGAAAAATATCGCAATTACGGGGTCATTACGTAATTGATTTTGCCGTAATTACGGAATTGATTTTTGTCAATTACGTGCAAGCCTAAATGGTACTCTCACTAATGCAATGGAACTGCAGAGGCATATATAAAAAAATATACGAATTCAAACTTTATATAGTATAGATGTGCCTTGTGATGATACCTTGTCTTCAAAGCCAAATGTAATTTTGCTCCAAATGACCTTTTTATCTAGCAGATACACGCCTATTTTATAAGGTTATAAGTTAGTTAGACAAGATCGGAACACTTTTGGTGGAAAGCTATGCATGCTCGTGGATAATTCGTTACCATACACTCCCCTGCCGTTAACCACCTATCGCGATATATAGATATATACAAGGTATTGTTGTCGAAAGTATCAAGATTGTTAATATATATATTCCACCGGATGCACACCTTGATGAGCATGAATTCATGTCAGTATTCGTACAACTACACTCAAACACACTCGTATTGGGAGATTTCAACTCACACCACACACTCTGGGCAGTTCATACTGCAACACATCTGGGCGTATACCTTCTAAGTTGATTGACCTACATTCCTATGTCGTTCTGAATACTTGTCCGACTAGATTGAATATCCATCTCAATGCTAGTAATCATAGTTCGCTATTAGACCTCTTTCTCGCCAAGGCTAATATTGCACACAGATGCGTCTCTTGTGTATCAGACGAACTAATCGGGAGCGACCATTACACAATTACAACATCTGTTGATATTAGGATGTCAATGTCAAATCAAATTGGGCATTCAAACGAGCGAACTGGGATAAATTTAACCGACTTTCCGATACTTATATATCTGATATATATAATAAAATCTGAAGATGATGAAGAATTTTGCGACAATTTCACAAATTCGCTTGTTACGGTAGCTAGAATGTCTATCCCAAAAACTAAACCATATAAAAAACCAGCAATCCCTTGGTGGAATGATGAATGCTCCAAACTTATAAGACTGAAACGAAGCGCTTACAACAGGATGAA